AGGGAGACGTGCTGATTAGTTTTTGGCAAAGGCAGGTACAGCTGTTACGGAGATATAGAGCAAAGAGTGCAGAAAATAGAAATCGAGTTTTTGAGAGAACGGAGCATCCGATTTGAATGATCTAGAAACGTTCAATTAGTAATGATTGGGAGAAGTGTTTATTAGTTTTTGGCAAAGGCAGGCCCAGCCATTTCGAAGATACGGAGCTAAATGTGTAAAAAATGGCAGTTTTTGAGAGAACTAAGCGTCCGATTTAAAAGTCCAATTCAAAGAACTTTCTGCTTGTCTTAACAAAATAATTGATTTTGGAAAAAAAAAAATTATTTCAACTTTTTTTTCAATTTTTTTTTTCAAAAAATTATATATCAAAATGACCGTGAATTTGTTTATTTAATTTTAGCAGTATAAATTCGGCTTTCGATGAATTGCGGGTTCACGTGCCGACTTTCCCCTACGAAAAGCGTCTTAGCAAAATCGACACCCTCCGCTTGGCCATCGCTTACATCGCCTTGCTCCGAGAGGTAATAAAAATAATATATACTAATATAATTATATATACATATGTATTATATAATATAATAATTCAAATCAGGTCCTGGACACCGACTACGATCCATTGACGTACGTGGAAAAATGTTTGAGGGGCGAAATCAAAGCCGACAGGGCGCATTGGAACACGAGCGGTCAGTAAAAAATAATTCTAATATTTATATATATATATATATATATATATATATATATATATATATTAACAAAGTCTATAATCGGGCATAACATCAATAAAAAACATGAATTTCTTTCAAAAATTTATTTTAAATCCATACGTTTCGGCTATAATCCTAGCCTTCATTCAGTGGAAACTAAAAATAAAATTAAAAACTAAAACAATTGAATTGGAGTGAAAAGAAAAAAATAAAATAGTAATTAGTACTTACAATTAGTTGATCTTAGTGTTAAATTGGTTAACCAGTCTACGAATAACACACTATCCATTTGTGATTTTTTCAAATCAGTATTTTGTGAAAATATTGTTGTAATTTCAAGTTAATGTTTATAATACATAGTGTAGTGCATTACCATATCCTGATACCATGGATTATTAAAATTTTCCAATTTAACACTAAGATCAACTAATTGTAAGTACTATTTACTATTTTATTTTTTCTTTTCACTCCAATTCCATTGTTTTAGTTTTTAATTTTATTTTTAGTTTCCACTGAATGAAGGCTAGGATTATAGCCGAAACGTATGGATTTAAAATAAATTTTTGAAAGAAATTCATGTTTTTTATTGATGTTATGCCCGATTATTAGACTTTGTTAATACATATGTCAACATCAAATTCAGAATCATACAATATATATATATATATATATATATATATATATATATATATACTAGCTAATCCGGCCAAGATTTGCTGCAGATTTTACTATATGTATTAATTTTTTTATAAAATATCCATCATTTGTACAAAAAAGCCTAGAAGATTGTCTAATATATTTTTTTAATATTCATGTTTAATTTAGTGCGACACCTTTTTAAATAATATATTTTGTTTTCATTTTAAAAATGTGATAAATAGTAGAAAGTCAATTACTACTAAGATAGAAGTAAATATATCACTGAAATTCCTGATAGATTTTAAATAGATTTCAGTCATATCTCAAAAATGTTTAGATTTTCATTATTTTTTTTTTATTTTTTTTATTTTTTATTTTTGATAAATGTCCGAATGATTATTTTTACCATCTAACAATAAGATCAAATAAATGACATATTGTTTTTTAAATCTATTATTTTTTCATTCTAGATTTGACTGCCAGGCTGTCCTGGATAAATTGGGAAAATTTGGGGGTACACCCTGCCAGAAGGGCGATGTTGACATCATTAGCCCTGGGAACCGACACTCATATCGGATATTGAATAACAATTATTATTATTATTATTCAATTAATTTATGTGCAATATTTCTAATTATTTTTAACACTTTGTTTCGGTATTGAAATTTTGTGATATTTTCTAGTCATTAAATGATATTTAATTGTAAAAAATAAAATTATATAATCAATATTTATAGCCTAATTTTATTTGTTTGTAATAGTTGCTAAAGAATAGGACTAATTAAATAAAAATTAACTAGTGGTGCATGGCATCGTGCCTTAAGAAAACTTTCCACTAAAATTTTTAATTTTTTTGCGATACTATAACTTACCCGATGGAAAGTTGATAAAAAAAATGTGAATAAAAATTAAACTTCTAATTGAGAAAATTAAAATTATGAAACATATAAGCGAATTGCTATTCCTTAGTTTCGAACGGCTGAACCGATTTGGCCAAATTTAACCTTGAAATACTAATGGTAATAGTCTTTTATACTCAAAGGACATAAAATGATGACAAATAAGTCTCTATTACTGTCGCTAATAAAAAGCTGTCTTTTTGCAAGATGTTTAAGGAATGTTTTTCATCTAGTAAAGGCTGATTTTACCAAGAAGGTAACTATACTCTCATGGAAGTTAAAAAATAGAATCATTAAATTGAATAAAACAGCCAATGCGGCGAATGAAGAAATATTTATTTTAAATTTTTGTACGTTTCGAAACTAGATGTGTCTCATCATTCAGCAGACCAGAAAAAGACACATGTTAACATTTACAGCTAACACATGAATTATATAACATAAGAAAAAATGTTGGAGCAAATCAAATTAAAGGAAATGTGATCGCAGGAAGCGGAAAGATTTAGTATTAATAATAAATATATTCAAAGCAAAAATATTTAAATGTTGAAATGCAAAGTACGGTAAGGTTCGAGCAACTATCCACACTATCCGATATTTCTTCAAAGAAAACATATAACGTATTATACATCGTGAGAAAGGTCTCAAAATTCTTAGTTTTTTCCCATATATAGCAACTTCGAATTCCGAACGGTGTGGCCTACAGGCGAATTGCAGTGATAAAATTCTAAGAAAACAGGAAAATCTCGAGAAAATTATATGAACACACTTAACGATTCATATATCATTTTATTCGTAAGCACCTTCTTTATTAACTTTATGTAGAAAAAATCGTCTGACATTTTTTTTTTTAAATTATGAAAAATATAATAAAAAAAAATTAGTAAAATTTTACGTTTACGTTTCCACCTTCGGTAGTAAATATTAATTAAAAAATAATTTATCACAACAAAACTTAGAAAACATATAGTTCTTATTGCTGTTCAAATATATAAATATAAAAAAGAAATCACGAATAAGTTATTACTTATGACAATCCCTTTATAAGGGAGCACGTGTCTCGTACAGCTTAAAGCAATTATTTGATAAGATTTTGGCTTTGTGTTTTTGAATTGTATTCATTCGTTATCGCCCTTCATTTGATTCAATACGACGTCGTGCACACGTCAATTGAAGAGAGGAGCACCCTTTCATTGTGAATTAATTATAGGGTCAACCGGAAAAATAGCTGGTTAATATATAAATACACGGCGAAATATATATATATATATATATATATATATATATATATATATATATATATATACATGACATTTCCGAGATAATTTTGCAACCATGTTTGAAAGTTAAGTAAAAAATACTGTTCAAGAACATTGAAAAATATTAAAGTCACAACGTAGTGATTAGTATACTAAGAAAAGACGTACTAAATTTGTCTTTCAAAACAGGCAAAAGCTAGAAATAACAAAACAATACTAGATATCTTTACAATAGACAGATAGTAATTATATGAGGTTTACAAATCAATGAGCAAATATAAGACAAAAATTACAAAACAAACAGCAAATACAAGTATTTAAATCCTACCTTAATCTTTAATCTTTCGATTCATTGCATAATTCACTATCAACAACCACTTTTACACAACTTTTCGACAAATACAACCAAAATTATATCTTTTTGCAAGTTTTGGTGCAAAATGTCGTTTGGCAACTGACGTTCAGAGCGGACATCTTTAATTTTCACAAATTCAGTGTTGCCATATGCGTAAATACAAAACGATGTGGTAAAATATTTTTTAATATAAAAATTTATTTAAACAAGTTTATTTGTGCGTAAAATGAGAAATATGGTGCATTGAATAATAATTATACAAAATCCCTTTTGTATGAATATAAATAACTTGAGTACTTTTTTTCAAAAGTCAAAACCAATCAAACCACTCTGAAGTTGTTCACTTCACTTTTTAAAACACAAAATTCAAATATATATAATTATTGCAACAATTTATTTAAATACATAATTTTAACTTATTAATATATACATACAATATAATTTCCAGCCAGCTGTCTATAAATTCATTTAAATTTCTTAAAAAAATATGCATGGACTTTCCACTTTCGACTAAATAACTATAAACAATCAAAATGGCACCAAAAAACATTTAAAGTAATTTCTCACTGGTTTCGTTAAAAATCCATACATATTTGTTAGTTTATATCAAAAATTTTGGTTTCTAAATTTGTATTAAGATTTAAATTCTTATATATCGCTGTTTTTGCCTTAGATAATAATTACTTACTAAACGAATACTAAGTACCTTGGTTTAAGATACATAGATTATAGTAATATGTACAACATAATATATATATATATATATATATATATATATATATATATAAATTTTCTATTAGGTACATAAGAGTTCAGTGCAATTATCTAGCTGTCGATTAACAATTTAGGTCCCCATTTAATATCTTAACATAATCTCTGGAGCAACAAATAACACATAAACTACTTGCTTACTTTAATTCAATTTAATTACAAACGAAACACTTGATGGCTAAGAAATGATAACAAGATAGTTTTATTTGTACCTTTGTATAATTTTGTTTAATGTCTTTTTGCTTTGTTAATTTAAAAGATGATTATAATCGATGACTATGGTAAGCTCATCTGCAAAGATTGGATAAAACCAAAGCTAGACTCAATTTATTTCATACAAAAGAATATATATTTATATTTCTACTTACCAATGTTATCTATTATCCTTCATTGTCTTACAATTTTCATTGTTCTTAGAAATTAAAGCTTTCATAATACTGGGATATAAAGCGGTGAGTATATCTTCGAACACAACTAGTATCAATCTCATATTTAATTGTTTCTTTTGCAGAAGTAGACATACATTTAACAATCCTAGACGAGTTGTTTCGCTTCCTAGGACATGTTTAAGGTCCTCAGAGAAGCTGGCCAGAAGTGCTGTTTTTGCTGCTATTCTGGTCCTAAAAAAATAAAGGTGTAATTAATAAAATTATATTTTAAAATGATGATTTAGATTATTATGCAAAGTATCAATAAAGTAGTCAAAGAAAGTAACGTTAACAAAACATTATGTTACGTTTAGATATAAAAGGGTTCATTGAGAATACAACAAATACTAAGGACACTTTTTGATATTTTGATATTCGTTGTAGTTTAGATTATTCAAGTAATTAATATATATTATTATATGTCAAATGAAAGCTAATAAAATTATCTACAACTCTGTATATAACGATTTATAACGTTTCTCACAAAATTATATAAAAAAAATATTTAAACTTAAAAATTAATGCGGCGTGTCTATAACATTAGTTTCAGCGGTTGCGGTTTTTATATCCACGTTCAATTTATTATAAATAATAAAAATATATTAATAATATTATATATTGTTAAACTGTACATAACGTGCGCAAACTTTTCAAACAAAATTGAATAATAAAAATGTGTAAAATTTAAAATTTAGTATCTACTTATTAACCATTGGTGGATGTGATTAGTACATTTTTTAAAATTTAGTATAGTTGTGATAAAATTTATTTATATTTTTATATATCATGATATACCATCAAAAGTCAATAATAATTATCTATAAATCTGTATATAATAACTTGTTAGAACAAAATTATATATAAATAAGTCATCAAACTTTGCAATTAATATCGTCGTCATGCGTCCACATTGTTTTAGCTACAATGCTTCGGTTTATAATAAAATTCATTTTGTTATAATTTAAATTTAAATAAAAGTACTTAATTCAAAATTATTATTATATATCATTAGAAAGCTAATTAAATTATCTATAAATCTGTATATAAAACTTCGTAACTGTTAGAACAAATTTATTTAATTTATTTAATTCATCAAACTTTGCAATTAATATCGTCGTCAGGCGCCCACATTATTTTAGCTACAACGCTTCGGTGTACAAATATATTAATTTTATTATATTTTAATTAAAAATATCATTATTTTTATATATCATTAGAAAGCTAATTAAATTATCTATAAAGCCGTATATAACAATTTAGAAATCTTAGAACAAAATTGTTTAGAAATAATTAGTAAACTTTGAGTTCCTAAATCTCAAGTAAACTAAAACGATCTTCTTCGGTACGTTAATACAAAATAGTTACAAAATTTGTAAAAATAAATAAATTCAAAATAACTATTATTACCTGTGAACTGTATCCTGGTCTCGTTTTGGTGGACTTTGTGCTCGTTCACCATTTGGCCACAGGGCATTTCGAACATATGATATCGCTTGTAACACCATACCTGGATAAAACAAGATTTAGAATAAATAAGTATATATATATATATATATATATATATATATATATATATATATTTATATTTATATTTTACCGTGACCAGCTAAAGATCCAGCCAACTGCAGCAATCTTCTATTTACAACATTTCCCAGCCAAGTGCCTTGTAGTGCTTTTGAAAGCACACCACGTCTCAACCATTGTGAACGTCCTTTCAAGTCAAAAGCTTCGTCTAATAGAACTAAAGCTGAACGAATAGCCGGATTATCAGCCTGAGATAATAAAAGTTATATTAATAATTATTTAAGAGATTACAAATTTGATGTGCTTACATCTATTTCATCGGGGACTCCTAATAGAACCCTGGACAAGCCTCCAACGAATTCATCAACGCTGTTTAGGAGTTGGTCGGGCATGTTTTTTATACTGCGCATTCCTGATCGTAATGGACTAACTATTGTATCAATCTGAAAAGATAATTGTTTATATATATATATATATATAAAATATATATATAAAATATATACATATATATACATATATATATATATATATATATATATATATAAAATATATACATATATATATATATATATATATATATAATTATCTGCTTACCGTTCTAATCATGGCCCCCCGTGCAACTTGTTTATCATAAGCTTGTGGTTCACAAAACTCGATGAGCAATTCCAAAAGTCCTTCGTAATAGTAAACTCGTTGCGACTGATTGTGATGTTTAATCCTTCTTGCATGTTCACACAAAGCAGTCACAAAAGAATTCAAAACTGTCTTTCTATGTTCCAACACTGTTCGATCCATATTGTGAAAAGCACGCTTTGCAGGAAATGGAAGTTTTGACAAATCAGGATACTGAAAGATAAAAAATGTTAATTAAAATAATGGCATAATTAAAAATTATTTGTTTATCTTACCTTTTTCTTGACAGATTTCTGTAAGTCTAAGAAATGCGAGTATCTTCGATACACGTGCCATTGCAGTAAGGAGCTGTTGCTTTCGTTTTGCAAATTTTGTTGACGAGTTACACTATTATTATTGTTTGTAGTAGTGTCTTGCTGTTTTTTGCGATGGCATAAAACATTTAGAGCGTATACGCCCCAGGATTTTCCTCCTTCACAAGCAATTGCTGAAAAGTAAAAAAAAACTAGTGGTGTATGGCATCGTGCCTTAAGGCAAATTGCTGAAACTTCCCGTACTGTAATGAAATGTTCGAGAAATTTTAAACGTTTTCAAATATATTATTATAAATACCGTAACTTTCATTATTTTTGCTATCTTGTTATATCTGAGCAAATCAAATATAAATCATAAATCGATTTATCTCCAGAATATTAACAATCGTCATTTCGTTTCGAATTCAATTTCAAAAAAAAAAAATAGTTGCTTAATTTGCACAAAATTGAAAAGTCTAAACGCATTTGCAAATAATTCTGTGCGACATTTTCACTTATACTGTGCTTAGCTTGGCGGCATTTTCACATTTTTCAATAGTTTTCACAAAATTGTACATTGACAGTCTAAACGCACTTGGGTAAACATTTGTACCAGAGTGGCGCTTAGACTGTGCTTAGCCTGGGCAATTTTTTGAATTTTTAATCCAAAATTACAAAAATATTTTTTGAAAAAAAAATTAGAAACATAATTTTTTTCCCAAAAGCAATTATTTTGTTGAAACAAGCAGAAAGTTCTTTGAATCATTTAAATCGGACGCTTAGTTCTCTCAAAAAACTGCCATTTTTTACCATTTAGCTCTGTATCTCCGAAACCGCTGGCTCTACCTTTGCCAAAAACTAATAACCACTTTTCCCCGTCATTACGAACTGAATGTTTTTTAGAACATACAAAAACTCGATTTCTATTTTCTGCACTCTTTGCTCCATATCTCCGTAACGGCTGGACTTGCCTTTGCCAAAAACTAATCAGCACATCTCCCCATTAATAGGCATCGAATGTTTTTAAACCATTCGAATCGGTTGATCCGTGCGCCCGAAAACCTGGACGAAAAAATGCGGACATACAAAACACACACACACACATCCATTTATTTATTTATTTATTTATTTATTTAAATATATAGCCCACAGATTTCTCCAAGAGGACTCAAAAATACAATTATTTGACATAATGAATAACAATTAAAATATACACAAAATTACAATATATAGTTAGTAACATAAAATGCTAAGATAAAATTTCATATAATGCAGAATGTAACAATAATATTTATAAACAGAAAATAATAAGATATTTGAAAGAAAATAAAAAGATTAACTTGTGCAGATGGAGATTATTTGATTAGGTGATGTGTTGTGAATGTCTATTTCATTATTAATTAAGTTAAAGTTAGAGGACATTAGTAAAATAGGCGAATTTAAGAGAGAATTAGATTTAGGAGGGTAGGATAATTGAAAAATAATTGTGAACGCGTAGATAGCCTCGGAACATTAAAGGATAGTTGATTGAGAATAAGAGGACAGTCTATAGAATTATTGCAAAGCTTAAATAAGAACATAATTGTACAGATAAATCGACGTGAGGCAAGGGAAGGAATACCAAATTCTTTTAGTAAAGTGTTGTGGTCAAAGCCACGTTCAGGGTAAATTTTATATGTTTTATAATAAAGGTATTTCAGAAATTTTCGCTGAACCTTCTCTATCGCATCAGAGTTGTTGATATGATGAGGATACCAAATAATCGAACCGTATTCTAATTTTGAACGTACAATAGAATAGTACATGCAAAGAAGTGCATTGGTAGACTTAAATTGTTTACAATTTCTTAGTATCAAACCTAAAGATTGATGTGCTCTATTGCAAATATCAGTAACATGATCTGTGAAAAACAAACCAGAATCAAATAGAACACCTAAATCGGAAATTTTATTACATCTATCAATGCTGGTGTTAGAAATTTTATAATCAAAAAGTATTGGAACGCGCTTATGTGTAAAACTAAGAATCTTGCACTTTGATATATTTAGATGTAATTTGTTATAGATACACCAAGATTGGAAAAGGTCAAGTTGAGACTGTAAAATAAGCAGTCATCAATAGAATTTATTTTGAGATATAGTTTCAGATCATCTGCAAATAATAAATGTGGACAGTTAATAGTATCAGAAATGTCATTAATAAAAATAATAAATAATAGTGGACCAAGAATGGATCCCTGAGGAACTCCTGAACTAATATTTTCAATGTTGCTCAAGAATCCATTAAGAAAGACAAACTGCTTGCGATTATGAAGATAACTTTTGAAAAAGTGGATAAGTGAAGAATTAAGACCAATCTTAGATAATTTAGTAAGGAGAATGTTATGATCAATTTTATCAAAAGCTTTACTGAAATCAGTGTAAATCACGTCAACTTGTCCATTGATGTCAAGATTCTCAGCTATATATTGTTTAATACAAATTAAATTTGTTATCGTTGAACGGGCAGGCATGAAACCATGTTGATTAAGAGAAATTAAAGTTCTAACAGAAGGAATTAGTTCTCTATAAATAATTTTTTCAAATACCTTAGCAAAGTTTGATAATAATGATATCGGCCTGTAATTAGTAATGTTTGATGTAACACCTTGTTTAAAAGTTGGAACTAATCGTGCAATTTTCCAACAATTTGGAAAAGTGTTTGTACGCAAAGATAGATTAAATAAAAATGCAAGTGGATCAGATAGAGTAGATGAGCAATCACGTATAAAGAAAGATGGAATACCATCGAAACCAAATATTTTGGAGTTCTTAAAACTTGCTATTGCAAGTTGCACAGTACTAGAATCAATTTCACCTATATCAATCATGATTCTATCATTATGATCAAATAAAATGGGTATGTCAAGTTTAGGCTGATAAACACTAATAAAGTAAGAATTAAATGCATCAACAATAGCATCAGGAGAATCATAATATTTGTCTAGATAGCACAATCTATTAGGAATAATATTAGAAGCAGTTTTATTACGCAAAAAAGACCAAAAATATTTAGGATTAAGCGATAGAGAATTTTCAACGTCAATAATATATGAATTATAGGCATCTTTCATAAGTATTTTTATTAATTTCCTGTACAATTTAAAATTTTCATAATAGAAAGTGATATTGGTTAACTTGTATTTATTATGATAGTATTTCTTCATACGGAGGTTTCTAATAATATCAGAATTAAACCAAGGCTTAAATTTATTGGAAGAAAATTTCTTTGTTTTAGGAACAAATTTATCTAATAAGCTATAAATTGTAGCGTAAAAAAGATCACATGCATCATTAATGTCAGAACATGTATACAAAGAACTCCACGATGTATTTAAAATTTCCCTGTAAAGATTAAGATAATCCGCTTTGTGGAAATTGTAATGATAGTTATTTTTATTAAATTGCAAAGTATTGGGTGTGGAAAAAGAAGATGTAAGGGAAACAGAAATATAAAGAGCAGGATGATAATTGTCCTCAGGTAAAAGGGGTTCGGTATCATGAATTATGTTGCAAAAGTAAGAACAAAACACTAAATCCAACAATCTGCCACTGATATTGATAACAGAATTATATTGGTTGAGACCAGATAAATTAATAAAATTATAGATAAAGTTACATTTTGCATTAGTAAGATTATGAGATAATTGATCGAAATGTGGAACATTGAAATCACCAATAATTAAAACATTTTTGTCTGAAACATAAGATTCTAGTAGATCAAGGAAAGCTTCAAAATTCTCAGTAGATACATCAGGTGGAACATAAACGGTCAATACTAATATGCTTGAATTCTTGAGGATACACTTGCAGCCAACAATATCAATCATTGGAAGCAATTCACAAATAAAGTTCAATTTCAAAAGTTCACAAGTAATATATTTTTTAACTGCAAGAAGTACACCACCACCACGATATTTATTGTTGATACCATAAGTTCTATCACATCTGAAAACATTGAAACTGTCGCAAAAGAATTCAGAGTTGTGAACATCGTTCCTAAGCCATGTTTCAGAAAAAGCGACGAAATCATAATCAAGATAACTAGATGCGAGCAGGCAGTCGGAAATTTTAGTGTTGAGTCCACGAACATTTTGATAGTAACATGTAAAGACATTACTATCTGTGGGCGAAATTAGTTTAAAGAAACAATTCGAGGAACGCCATTAATGTATTTAATTTTAAGATTAACTTCACCTTTTTTCTCGCGTTCAAGTAGCTGAGCTTTCAGTCTTTGATAATAAAGTTGTTGCCTTGGTGTCCGATCCTCACTGATAATCAAATTCTTGAAGTGGATATTATCCTTAATTTTCTTGCAGTTGAACAAAATTTCTTTGGTAAGTTATTATCCTTGAAGATAACTTTAAGCGGTCTTGGCTTAGTCCTTTTTGAATCAAATTTACCCAATCTATATAGTTCGAAGCTCGACGGAACACAAGGTACTCCTAATGAAGCTTCAAATATATTGTTAATCATATTAGTATCAACACTTTTATCATAATTGTTTACGTCATTAAGAGGCTCTTTGGCGTTATATATTATGATATTATATGAACGTTTATTGCGTTCAGAAGTCTCTTGAACTAATGCTTCAAATTGTTCATCATCCAGAATATTATTGTTGCAAGACCTATGATCTTTTAGTGCAGCAACTTCTCGTTGTAGCTGCATTAACATACTCTTGATATCATTCAGGTCATTACCGAGATTAGCACATGAATTGCAATTCCACATTATTCCTTTTTTTGATGATATTGCTCGAACATCAGCCAAGCTCAAGTTCACGCATGAATACTTAAACTTTGTTTTGCACGAAATACATGTCACCATCTTGTCAAAGGCAACTGCAATATTACAGCATGAACACGTATTTTCCAAATTCATAATTATATGCTTATTTCACTTATATAAGCGATGTTTACAACAATATTCAAGAATTTTATGATTAGAAAATACTTATATTAAATTCAAAATATTTTATATGATTTTGACAATGATGTTTTGATCAAGTATCAATTATTATCTTACCTGTTTGTATAATTTCCATCGACAAATCATAATTCTCAGCCAAAAAATTAGCACTATAATGCTCGAAAGCAAACTTGGCTGTGGCAACAGAACCTTCTATGGTATTACCAAATTTATTAGTCTGCTGCACCAAACCTTGGCCATCAATATTTTTAACATTATGTTTCAGAGGACTTAAAGTTCTTTGCCGAACAATCGAATCACTTCTTGATCTTGTGTGCTTCATGTAATCGAACTTTGTCGACAACTTTTTGTCATCGAATTGATAGTCCTCACTTTTTTGTAACACTCCATCCACATTGGTCTGTTGGATAAGTGGAACTGAAAAGTAAAACACAACTAGTAATAAGACATCACAATCCATATACTAAACTAGTGGGGCGCATGGCATCGTGCCTTAAAGCAAATTGCTGGAACTTCCCGTACCGTAAGGACATATTCGAGAAATTTTAAACGTTTTCAAATATATTATCATACAAATACTGTAACTTTCATTATTTTTGCTATCTTGTTTGTTATATCTGAGAAAATCAAATGTAAATCATAAATCAATTTATCTCCAGAACATTAACAATCGTCATTCCATTTCGAATTTAATTTAAAAAAAAAAATAGTTGCCCAATTTACACAAAATTGAAAAAGTGCTCCCGTATAGTCACAGTCTAAACGCATTTGCAAATAATTCTGTGCGACATTTTCACTTATACTGTGCTTAGCTTGGCGGCATTTTCACATTTTTCAATAATTTTCACCAAATTGGATAACTGTTCCAGTACATAAACAGTCTAAACGCACTTTCGTAAACATTTGTACCAGAGTGGCGCTTAGACTGTGCTTAGCCTGGGTAATTTTTTAAATTTTTAATCCAAAATTACAAAAATATTTTTTGAAAAAAAAAAATTAGAAACAATTTTTTTCCCAAAAGCAATTATTTTGTTGAAACAAGCAGAAAGTTATTTGAATCAGACGCTTAGTTCTCTCAAAAACTGCTATTTTTTAACATTTAGCTCTGTATCTCCGAAACCGCTGGGCCTACCTTTGCCAAAAACTAATAACCTAATAATAATAAATAAACTAATAAAATAATAACTAATAGAATGAGTTTTGAATTATAAAGCAATTTGAAAACATACTTCTTCCAATTTTAAAATATGTAGTACAGTATATAATTTTTTTCATTCAAATTGACATAAAATTGAACTGTTTTAAAATCAGAAAATAGAAAATATATCACTTATGTCAATTTGTTAAAAATAATTTGATATTAGGTTGTCAAATATCTCCCTTCCGCTTTTTTGCTCTTGGTTTATAATACAAAAAGGCGGAAGGGAGATATTTGACAACCTATTATTAAAATTCAGTATAATTATTGAGTTTAGTACATAGCGCATATGATATCTTCTATTTGGAATTCACGACATTATTAGTTAAAGTATTTATTAGTTCAAGAATTAAGTTAAATTAGTTTTAAGCATAGCAAAATTATATGCATAAAATGCTTAAAAGTCAAATGTATTAAGTAAGCAGTGTTATTTATTTAAATAAATATTAATTTCAAATAACCACTTTTCCCCGTCATTACGAACTGAATGTTTTTTGGATCATGCAAATCGGATGATCCGTTCTCTCAAAAACTCGATTTTTATTTTCTGTGCTCTTTGTTCCGTATCTCCGTAACGACGCGTTTTTGCCTTCGCCAAAAACATCGGTTTCACATCGGCACATCTCCCTATCAATAGGAATCAAATGTTTTTTGAACCATTCAAATCGGTTGATCCGTGCGTCCGAAAACGTGGACGAAAAATTGTATCCATACATACATACACACACACACATCCATTTAGTTTCTGAGGTATGCCAGTAAGATGTTCAGAAACCTTCAAAACGTCGAGAAATGCAAAAATTTTCATTTTCAATTTTCGGCCCATTACAATAACTTACCCTACGGGAAGTTAAATAGTTGGTTTGGTATTTAGCCTTGAGGCAAGTTACATGAACTTCCCGATATATGTAAATAATCGACTTAATCAATAATAAACAAATTAATTTATGAGTGATTAAAAGTATTCCACTCGGAATTTATTACACATAATTGAAAACGAACGAACACTTTGACTCGGAGTATTTTCTAAAAGCAAATTTTCAAATATTAATAATTTTTATAATTGAACCAGCTTCCGTAGGACTTTAAGGATTTATTACGTTTATTAAGACCAAGTACTCTATCGTTATACCAAGTGAATCGTCTAAGTTTAATTTTAACAAACGTCAAAAAAACTACTCATTTTCTCAAACTTTGATAAATTTTTAAAATTAAACTACTTGTAAAGCCGTAATAATTCAGTAAGTTCTATAAGACCATGGTATATATCTCCAAAAAAGTACCATAAAAATCGGCCTAATTTTTTTTTTCAACGGTTAATTACAAGAAAACGGCTCGGTAGATTTTCACCTAAAACTAATCAGCATCATTCCCAACTAATATCTTTTAAACAGTTTTTGATTTTTTAAAATCGATTCGGTAGTATGAGCTTAAATGTGGACGAAAAGTTTAACACTCTTTTTCAAATTACAAAGAAACGGCTCGGCCGATTGTCGCACAAAAGTGACAAGCGATAGTCCTCATTAAGACACATCAAATGGCTTTTAAATTTCTGAAATCGGTTCAGGCGTTTTTGAGAAAACGTCGATGAAAGGTCCAATTTTGACAAATGCCAAAAAAACTATACTAATTTTTGCAAACTTTGACGAATTTTTAAAGCTAAACGAGTTGTCGTAGGGCCGTAATATTTTAGTATGATTTAGAAGACTATGATATCTACGGTCAAAAAAATAATAATAAAAATCGCCGAAAAAAATTTTTTTAACACTTTATTACAAGAAAACGTCCCGGCCGATCTCTACCAACAACTCATCAGCACGATTCCCAATCAATATCTTTCGAACGGTTTTAAATTATCAGAATCTATTCAGAATTGCGGGCTAAAACGTGGACGAAAAAATTTTCACTTTTCTGCTATTTATAAAGAAAGGGCTTGGACGATCGTCGCACAAAACTCAGAAACGCTAGTCCTCATCGAGATACATCTAATGGCTTTTGAATGTTTGAAATCGGTCGAACCGTTTTTGAGAAAACGACGATTTACGGCAAAAAATCTGTTTACATACACGCCCACACACACACATACTTTTTTCAAATGTTGGTCTCATTCGATTCAGAATGGCTTGAAACGTCGAGAAAACATAAAATTAGCGAATCGGATTTTTTGATGAAAACATAAACTTCTCCTTCGGGAAGTTAATAAGACATCACAATCTATATACTAATTTATAAGTCTATTATCCCTACCTGTAGCTTTGACACTATCCATTCCTCTGGCACCATTTACTTCGCTCTTGTCCTTTTTCACAGTTGTTTCATTCGCCGATGATTCGTTTTCAGCTGGTGCTCCACCAGAATCAGTTTCGCTGGAACCAGCAACCATTTCTAAACTGGACACACTGTCATTGTCCAGATTTGAGGTACAATCGTAGTCGTGTTGACCATGAGTGAGCATATCGAGCTCTGCCAACATGTGGATGTAGAGTCGACTTCTGTAGAAATCGGTTAGGAAGATGTCTTCGGTCTGGAAATAAAGGACACAGTGATTATTTAAATACACGAATATATTTAATGGAAGTTAATAAACGAATATTCAATACTTGCCTTGAATTTTCCAAATACGTTGTCTTGTATTTCATCGAACCAATTTTCAGATGGATTAAGAGCTCTGAAAAAGAATAATTATTTGTAACACATTTTTTCACGACTACAACACTGGAAGGGGAGTTCTGTGGCGGTTATAGACCGCTGCTGTTTTTATGATATCTAAGATCTTTTTAGTAAATTGTATCCAAATTTTGTCATTTATATAATTATTTATTGATGACCTCGACGTAATCTAGGATGATGGTCGATATTAGGGAATGCAATACCGGTAATACCGGTATATCGAATTACCGGTAAACCGCCCGATTTTTCGGTGGTATTTTTACCAGTATTTATTCCAAAAATACCGGTATTTTCGGTATTTTTACATAAGCGCTATTTGATACATAATACCCTAAAGTTTAAATTTTTCGGACCAAATTTATCTTTAGATTCCATAATCGCATAAACAGCTATATCTTCAAGTGATTCTATAAGACAAACAGATGTCAAATATTATCTCAACTCGTCATTAAACTGAATATTTATTGCTTTCCAAAGGGCTTCATATCGTGTTACAATAAATATAATTGGATTGATAGATAATGATGTTTGTTTCATCTTTTGTAAAAATGTAACGGTTTATTAAGTGATATTTGCGCCAAAATATTTTATATGATACAGATTACCCCTGCATAATCTTTATTTTTTCTAACTTTATACATAATAATTATGATAATTACTAAATATTATTTCTTCTTATTACAATTATAAAATATTATTTTCCGAAAACGTTCCGAAGTTTGAAAATACTATAGAAGCATCACATTGTTCTAAATAACAATACTCAACAATTATAGTAACTTATTATTTATCTCGACAAAGTATCCAATCTTAAATTAGTGTAGAAAAATTATTTTTTTTAAATATTGGAGATTATGCTAATTTAACACATCGGATACAGACAATACAGTTTATTATAATAATGTAATATGATCTTTTATGAGTTTTTGGTCTTTCTTACTCATAAGTTCGTTTTTGGTGAAAAGTACTCAATATAGTGATAATGAATTAATTGAATTGGATATACTTTTGTTAACTTATTATTTAAAAAAAAATAAACTTATTGTTTTATTTTATTGTTTAGTTGAATATAGTTGTACGAGGTCTGTTCAAAAAGTACCCGGAATTTTCGTTTTTTCAAAAAAATATTTATTTATTCGTCTACATTAATGTGGTCCCCTTCAAAGTAGTCCCCCCCAGATATAATACACTTATGCCAGCGTTTTTTCCAATTTTCGAAGCACCCTTGATATTCACTTTTTGATATGTCCTTGAGCACTCTCAGCGATTCGGCCTTTATTTCTTCAATCGAGGAAAACCGCCGTCCTTTCATGGGTCTCTTCAACTTTGGGAATAGGAAAAAGTCACACGGAGCCATATCTGGTGAATTTTTGCACTTTGCAACACTTTATTTCATTTTTTACGCAAAATTTAATACAAATTCTTTGACTTTTCAATTCTTCCATTGTAAAAATCGCCGAGCTCAGAAAAACACGTCGAACCTTAGCGACTACCACAGACAAAGTAAACAGTGAATATAGCTGAAAATTTCATCAAACTTTAGGGGCATGTATACCAACACAATAAAAAAAAAAATTTGACAATCAGACACTCCAGACCCGCGAAATTTAATTATTAGTAATTCCGGGTACTTTTTGAACACACCTCGTATATACATTTTTTTTATATTTGTACTAGTAACTTTCAATATTGTTTACGTTTGTTTAAGATAATAAAAATACCGCTAATTTACCGGTATTCCGGTTTTAAAATGAAAAATTACCGAAATACCGGTATTGAAATTTTCCATCGGTATTGCATTCCCTAGTCGATATTAGGGGGGCATTAAATAAAATCAATTATCCTTTATCTTACTTGTTGGCTATCTTCAACCTCAAATCGTTCAGCATCTGCGAAGGCACTTCAACTCTATCACTATTCTTGTCAGACAAAAACTTCTCATAAATCTTCTGGGCAGTCTCTCGAAGTTCCTCATTTGAATTCATCGGATGACTGTTATTATTACCATTTGTTGCCGTCATCGATCCTGCAGAAGTAGTACTTCCATTTCTGATACTGCGCATCTTTGTCGCCAATTGATTCGTTGTTTTGTTTTGAGATTGTTCACGAACTGATGTCTTCCAATCTAAGAAGAAAAATAATAGAAATAAAAGTAAAATATTTGTGTTTAAAAGTTTTTATGAATAAGATACTTACGTTCCACGGTGTTATAAAAAAATAAGTAGTTCTGTTTGTTGACTTGTGTTAAATAATCGAGATAAAAGGATAAGGCTACGTCGCCGCTCAGTAATTGTTCGAACGATAGCAATGGTAGAATTGTTGAAGACGAGGTATCTGGTTCTGCAAAAATTAAAATATACTTTACATATGTATATATATATATACTAGCTGACCCGGCAAACGCTGTTTTGCCATCAAAAATATTTTGCCGCTTTGCAGAAGTTCTTATAATTTACATGATATATTAGGTTGTCAAATATCTCCCTTCCGCTTTTTTGCTCTTGGTTTATAATACAAAAAGGCGGAAGGGAGATATTTGACAACCTATTATTAATAATAATGTTATATTTTTATTACACAAATTTCTTTACATTTCGATAATTAATTCCAACGCATCATAGTGTTTTGTTTATTTTAATTTTATTTATGTCAAATAGTGAAATATTTTTTTTAATCAATGAATAAATTAAATTTCACAGTCTGAATCAACGCAAGTACCATTATCTGAATATATAATACTTTATATAAATATCAGATTTTTTACTTTTGCATTTAATTTAAAAATATTGAATGTCAATTTCATATATCCAATGTGCAATAAATTTATAAATGCCAAAATATTTCCTTTTTGATCAAAATTTAATATAATATGATATAATTTATATCTATAATTTGATTGTCAATATTGCCTATAACATAACTTGGAATAATTAATTTATTTGTATCTTATTGAAGTCGTTAAAAGTTCATTTTTTTTGAACTGTCAGAATTTTGTTTATGATTATTGTTAAATTTAATATGTCGCTTTTTTATTGTTATCTATAATAATGTTTTAATCACTTATCATATAAATTTTCGACTATTAATTGATATTCATACTATCCCTATGGATAAAGTTCTGAGAAATCCGAGTCCAAATCTATAAAATGTTTGATTTTTGGCACTTTTATTAATTCTTTATCAATTTTCGTACTGTAAAATAATGGATGATTATTTATCAAAATTGTAATATTTAGACTATAATTTTAGATGAATATTATATTTTTGTGAAACGTTAAATTTTTGTTTATGATTAATTTTAAATTCAATATGCCGCTTTTTTATTGTGATCCCTGATCTATAAGGTTTTGATGAAGTTTTGGTATCCAAAATAATTTGGTAAGCTAATCAATTAAATCTAAATCGTAAATCTATTTATATAATAATTTTCATAAATATTGACAAATGACATTTGACGTTTTTCATGTCAACATTTATTCAAATTTATAAACATTGATTTTTAATTAGATTTAAAACTATAAATTGTGATTTTGAATATCTAATTAGGATATAAATGTTGGATATATCTATATATGTAAATGTTTTTGAATTATATTTTTTGAACTGTCAAATTTATTTTTCAAAAATCATACATCTTTTTTTCTCGAATTTTCCATAAATTTTGGCATTTGTCATTTTAGTGTTTTGTTTTTTTTTTTGGTCATTTTCTGTCAAAATTTTTAGAAATTTATAAAAATAATATATTTATATTTTAAATTTTCTTTTCAAAATTTCCTATAACCTAAGTTGGATATATATTGGCACACGATGAGACAATAAAATTTAAAATCGGTTCAGTAGTTTGGGCGTCCATCGCGAACCAACATAGTGACACGAGATTTATATATATATATATATATATATATAGATATGTATATATATATATATATATATATATACTACACATTCTTTTTTTTAAATATTTTATTTAAATTACATTTAATTTTTGAAAATACAAAAAACATCAACTATCACTTGCAGAGCTTGACACAGTACTAAAACATGTGAATAGATACAGAAATATATTAAACAAATCTTAAGTATCGAGATGAAGAGATAGTATGAGTATTATTATATATATATATATATATATATATATATATATATATTGTATTTATTTTCTTTACCTATATTTCCTTTAAGTTGTCCCAATTTATTATTAATCATTTTCTCAACATATTGCAAACTGCCAATTTGTTGTTTAATGGAACTGTCGACGTGCAGACTACTTGCAGACCTCTGAAATTAATGAAAAATTATATAATTGATAAATGTAAGCATCCTTCAACTGACCTATCAGTCATAAAACTTAAATTATAAAATTTAATATAACAATTATGTTCAGATCAATCTAACAAAGAAACAACTCAGCTATTGTCCATATATAAAAACAATGATATTTGTATTGCAAAAGAGTAAAAATAATTATTTATTTATTTATTTATTAAAAACAATTATTAAACAATTAATTATACTTACAAGTTGGTGAATTTCAGCTCTTAACATTTCCCTCATGACACTTAATTCATTAACATCATTACAGAATCTTAATGTCGTGAGCAAATGCTCACCGGCCGGTGGCCCATCTTTGCAACACTAAGAAACGATTCATATTCATTAATTTATATTATTAATATATATATATATATATATATATATATATCTTTTCTACTTACAATTTTCAGTATAATCAAATTAACAGTATCAGGTTCCGATAGCAAATCGAACAAAGGCCTAAGTACACAGCAAGAAATCAATGACCCCAAAATGCTTCTTAAACTCGGGCAAGCAAAATCTTCCGAAGGCAAGATGAAAAATAACACCAAGTCTACTAGACTTGTTAAATGCTCTGGAAAATGATACAGAAACAAAATAAATAAGCAAAACAATAATATTACTAGGTAAGTGTTTATCTTATTTAATATTTTCCATCAAATGCCATAGGCAACTTTTAGAAAAAGTGTCTAAAAAAGTTTTACTTCAAAAAATTAGGATTGTTTTTTTATGGCATGTGGGGTCTCATTTGATAGGTCTCGAAGAGTACAATTCAAATATTAAAATAATCTTGACATTTTTTTTGAATTTATCTAAAAAGCTTTTCATTTTTAACATTTTTATAATTTTTTTTTTGCTATTGAAAAAGTGAAGACTTCTTCTAATTTCAACTAGTTTATCTTATTGTTTACTTGTATTATATACTTTTAATACATTTTTAATAAACGTGTCTAAAGAAGTTTTACTTCAAAAAATTTAGATAGTGTTTTTTTATGGCATGTGGGGTATCATTTGCTAGGTCTCGAGGTTTTAAATCCAAATATTAAAATAATATTGACTTTCTTTTAGAATTTTTATAAAAAGCTTTTAATTTTCACATTTTTATAATTTTTTTTTGCAATCAAAAAGTGAAGACTTCTACTTTCACCTAGTTTATCTCATTGTAAAGTTTACTTGTATTATATACTTTTATTGCAATTTTAGTAAAAGAATCTAAAAAAGTTTTACTTCAAAAAATTAGAATTGTTTTTTTATGGCATGTGGGGTCTCATTTGATAGGTCTCGAAGAGTACAATACAAATATTAAAATAATCTTGACATTTTTTTTGAATTTATCTAAAAAGCTTTTAATTTTTACATTTTTATATATTTTTTGCTATTAAAAAAGTGAATACTTCAATAACATATTTAATTTATTTTGAGCACAATTATAATAAACAAAAAAATCACAAGTTTTAATTATTGATTAAATGAATTTAAAGTAAAAGAATCCTAAAAAGCTTACTTCAAAAATGTAGATTTTTTTATGGCATGTGAGGTATCATTTGATAGGTCTCGAAGAGTTAAATACAAATATTAAAATAGTTTTGACTTTTTTTAGAATTTTTTCAGAAAGCTTTTTACATTTTCACATATTTATAAACAAATTTTTGCCATTAAAAAAGTGAGGACTTCAATAATGAATTTAATTTACCTTGAGCATAATTATGATAAACAAAAAAATCACAAATTTTAATTATTGATTAAATGAATTTAAAGTAAAAGAATCCTAAGAAGTTTTACTTCAAAAAAATTAGATTCTGTTTTTCATGGCATGTGGGGTATCATTTGATAGGTCTCAAAGAGTAAAGTACAAATCTTAAAATAGTTTTGACCTTTTTAGCATTTATAAAAAAAACTTTTCATTTTCAAATTTTTATTCAAAAAAAATAGTATTAAAAAAGTGAATACTTCTAAAAAAAATGTATTTATCATAAGTGCAACTTTCTGATGCCTCTTTGATAACACATACGTGAAGTTAGGTTTTATGTGTAAAACGCCTGATCGCCTAGCAAACACATAGCTTTTAGACAATTCGTGAGTACCGCTTCATAAGAAGATAGACCCTTAACTTAAATATTTCATAACCATAACATTTCTATGCGCAACTTGCTTTAAGACAAAAATCTACTTTCACCTAATTCATCATATTGTATCAAATACCAAAGTTAACTTGTGATATACACTTTTAATGCATTTTTAATGAAAGTGTCTAAAGAAGTTTTACTTCAAAAAATTTAATTAGTGTTTTTTATGACATGTGGGGTATCATTTGATAGGTCTCAAAGAGTTAAATACAAATATTTGAAATGTTTTGACTTTTTTTAGATTTTTTTTAATAAAACATTTCATTTTCACATTTTTATAAACATTTTTTTGCTATTAAAAAGCAGACTTCTAAAATATTTGTAATTTACCTTGAGCATAATTATAATAAATAAGATAATCATAAATTTTAATTAATGATTAAATAGTTTTATGAATTTGTAGTAAAAGAATCTAAAGAAGTTTTACTTCAAAATATTTAGATTGTGTTTTTTTATAGCATGTGGGGTATCATTTGATAGGTCTCGAGGAGTAAAATACAAATATTGTAAAAGTATTGACTTTTTTTTAGAATTGTTTAAAAAAACTCATAATTTTATATATTTTTTTTGCTAAAAAGTGAAGACTTCAATAATATATTCAATTTACCTTGAACATAATTATAACAAATAAGAAAATCACAAATTTTAAATATTGATTTTAAATGCTTTATGAATTTAAGTAAACAAATCTAAAGAAATTAGGGGACGTTCATTAATCAGAGAGGGTTATAGTAAGATATCACGTGTATTTATATTTACCTGAAAAAAAAATCTAAACATTTCCAAAAAAAGTTAAAAATTTGACGTTTGTGGATGAGGGGTTAATTTTGATTATCACCAAGGGGGTCAAAAATCCTAGAAAAATCGATCACGTGATTAATGAACGTCGCCTTAGTTAAAATAGCATGTGGGGTATCGTTCAAAAAGTCTTGAGGATTAAAATACGATTTTATAAATAAAACATGATGTTTGTACTAAATGTTTTGCTCACCTTCTAAACTGCTTTCATCAGACACTATTCTACCTCGAATATCTTTGGACAAAAACAATTCTACGGCTTCATCGTCAACATTTTCAGCCCGCAATTGGGTTTCTGATGACTGGTTATCTGTTGTGTAAAATTTTGCTTGCAAATTTGTTTGACTCGCTGAAAAATAAGATAAACATCATGTCAACATTCATATATCTTTATCATCATGGAATGGTGTTAGTAATCAAATTCCTCCGAAACGGCTTGACCAATTTTTATAGAATTTTATACGCACAATCATTAGAACTCAGAATTCGCCTACATCTGTTTTAAAAGTTGACCACGCCTGCTCGCTAAATTTTTTGTTTTATATTTTTATAATTTTTTTATTATATAACTCTTATTTTGTAATAGTCATTTAGTATTCCAAGAATTTTTCATTTATTATTTTCTACTTACGACTATTCCATTTAACATCAGTATCACTCTTGTTCCTCCTGTGAGTCTTGAGATGTTTCTTCGGAGAACTTTTTGGGCTAACTTTACTTGTTGCAGAATTGGCAGTCAGTAATTTGGCACACTCACGTTGTGCCTGTCGGTACAACTTTATGTGCTCTGCCACTTGGTCCACCAATTTGGTGGTTAGGAAAGTTAACCAGTCTACTTGCTTAACTCTAAAATAAAAAAGGTAAACGAAATTATCTTATATATAAAATTCTTCTGTAACGATGTATGTAAATATACTCCTCCTGAACGATTATTCGGATTTTGATAAATCTTTCTGAAGTTTGTTAAGGGATTTTTTTAGGATGTGCGTGATTATAAAAATATAGTAATATTGTAGAAATAAATGGCAAAAATTGCAAAAAACGACATGTTATTGTTTGACATTGAAAATATTTGAGACATTGTTTGGCATTGAAAACAAATGAAAACAGTCATCAAAAAAAAAAAATTTACACATGAGCCCCGCTAAAAACAAATGACTTGCGGGCGCTGAGGACCCCAAGAGCGTCCCTGGTAATAATGTATATTAAATTATCACTAAGAAAAATTTCGTTTATATATTATATATAAATTACTATTATATAATTGAAATATTTATAATTTTAAAAGAGTGGATATGTACACAAAATTTTGGTCGTTTTTGGACTGCCAAAATTCGATTTTTGATCCGATCAAAAAATCGATAGTTCATTTTACGAGAACTATATATAGAAGATGTAAAAAACATTCGATGGTGATCGGATCATTTGTTTTTGAGTAATCGCTGTAGCAAATTCGAAAAATGCTGTTTCGAGAAAATTGCGTTTAAAGATAAAATGATCGTTATACTATAGTACTATATATACACCTAAGTCTGTTTTTACACGGTAGATTGGTTACAGAAGAAGCCGTGTAAAAAAAACGTGTAAAAAAAGACATTGATAATATACAAAAATGGGTGATTTGTTCCTAATCTCTAAACCCTATTAAAATCAGTGAAAAACAAGAATTTTTAAGAACAAGAATTCATGTTTATTTTATTAAATCAAATATATAATGCTTATTTTCACAAATTTAGGTACATAAAATTTCAAATCGTGCTAAATGGAATAAAATCGTGTAAAAAAAATAAAAATATTCAATTTTCAAACCGTGTTATATCAAAACCGTGTACAAAAAGACCGTGTAAAAACAGACTTAGGTGTATATACTTTTTAAATTGTTGTAACTCAAAAACTATTTAAGATATCAATTTAAAATTTTAATATGTTATTTTTTAAAGGTATAACCTATCGAAAAATGGAAAAATTGAAAATTCGATTTTTTGAAAATTTCACACTAGTTGTGCCCCTTAAAAATTGTTGGAGTTTTTGAATTGAAGACGTGGGTACAGGATAACGTCTGTTGGGTCATCTAGTATATATATATAATTTTTATACTTTTCAATCATATCAAATTCGAATCTTTTACTAACAATATAAATATATTTTTATTATAAACTGAAAAAACTATATAAGAAATAGTTATAAATATTTGTACCATCATTCTAAAATTTAACAATTTAAAAAAATTCTGGATTCTTACAAAGTTAAGATTTACGTCGATTTACGACAAAAAATCTGTTCACATACACGTACACACACGCACACACACACACATACTTTTTCCAAATGTTGGTCTCATTCGATTCAGAATGGCTTGAAACGTCGAGAAAACATAATATTAGCGAATCGGATTTTTTTATGAAAACATAAACTTCTTCCTCGGGAAGTTGAGAAAAATCTATTTTCTACAAAATAAGAATAAGAATAAATAAAAAAATTAACAAGAAATTGCAAAATATTCATAAATTTACAAGAAAAGTATGTTTCTTTACAAAACACTGAATTAAATATTCTTGTTTGTACCATATGGAATATTTCATCTATCCCTTACCTCTCGGATATCCTCGACACGGCGTGCTGAACCGAAGTCCTGATCGTCCTGTCGAAGCTCCTCTCGTCCTCGTTGGGCAGATTGGTGACCTTGGCGTACCATGTGTGCACGTAGTCGCGCAGGGCGTATGTCACGATGTCGCGCAGAGCGCGGTCGATTACGTCGCTGCCGGTCAGGCGGCTGTCGGCCCGGGCAGCGGGGCGCCCGGGCTGTCGCCTCTCGGAGAGGAGTGAAACGATCTGCAATAGAAGGATCGAAGAAACGATTATGGATAATAGATAGGATCGATAATTTGCCGATATCATTATTATCAAACTTTGCTAAGGTATTTGAAAAATTGCAATTGCAATAGCAAGTTTTAAGAACTCCAAAATATTTGGTTTCGATGGTATTCCATCTTTCTTTACACGTGATTGCTCATCTGCTCTATCTGATCCACTTGCATTTTTATTTAATCTATCATTGCGTACAAACACTTTTCCAAATAGTTGGAAAATTGAACGATTAGTTCCAACTTTTAAACAAGGTGATACATCAAACATTACTAATTACAGGACAATATCATTATTATCAAACTTTACTAAGGTATTTGAAAAAATTATTTATAGAGAACTATAATTCGTTCTGTTAGAACTTCTACTAATCAATATGGGTTCATGCCTTCCCGATCTACGATAACAAATTTAATCTGTATTAAACAATATATAGCTGAGAATCTTGACACTAATGGACAAGTTGATGTTATTCGCACTGACTTCAGTTCAGTAAAGCTTTTGACAAAATTGATCATAACCATGGGGGGGCAAACATAGAACAAATGACCTTTTTATCGTTTTACTGTTACTGTAGAAAAACAAAAGAATTAATAATAATTTTCAATATGGCGAAGTGTCACGTACCACAGTGTCAAAAAAGTGTTGAATTAAATACAGTTCATAAAGATAAAAAAAATCTAGCAGGGTACTAACAAAAGCCGCATGCGTTAAGAAACTGGGCTAAAAAGCTATAGAGGATTTGAGGCACATTTGAAACAAAAAGAAAGTGATTCCAGAATTTCATTATTTATGTACCAGATATTTTAATCAAGATCCATTGCAGATTTTTTTGGAAGAATAAATGTCGGAGATGTTCAATTTTCTAAATTATTTATATTGTTTGTTGTTAATAACTGGTGCAATACTGTGAAACGATGTCAAAGGAAAATATATGAATGAAAATGAACAGGACCCCATAAAAAAGTAGCTCTCGATAAGTACAAGAAAAGTCTCAAGGCCAATAAAACTCGACTGAGACAGAAAAAACCCGTATATTTTTCTGCGAATGTTAGAAAATCTTGTCTATTTATTACTAATTATATTTTATTTAAATTATATAAATACGTTTTATTGATATATTTTATTATTTATATTTAATTATTGCTCAAATATTAATTTTATTTCATTTTTGCAAATGTTTTTAATATATATGAAAATATATTTTTTGACACTAATGGACAAGTTGATGTTATTTACACTGACTTCAGTAAAGCTTTTGACAAAATTGATTATAACATTCTTCTTACTAAATTATCTAAGATTGGTCTTAATTCTTCACTTATTTATTTTTTCAAAAGTAATCTTCATAATCGTAAACAGTTTGTCTATCTTAATGGATTCTTGAGCAACATTGAAAATATCAGTTCAGGTGTTCCTCAGGGATCTATTTTTGGTCCACTACTATTTATTATTTTTATTATTGACATATCTGATATTATTAGCTGTCCACATTTATTATTTGCAGATGATCTCAAACTATATCTCAAAAAAAATTCTATTGATGACTGCTTATTATTACAGTCTCAACTGGACTCTTTCCACTCTTGCTGTGTATATAACAAATTACATTTAAATATGTCAAAGTGCAAGATTCTTAGTTTTTCATATAAGCGCGTTCCAATACATTCTGATTATAAAATCTCTAACACCAGCATTGATAGATGTAATAAAATTTCAGATTTAGCAGTTTTATTTGATTCTGGTTTGTTTTTCACGGATCATATAACTGATATTTGTAATAGAGCACATAAATCTTCAGGTTTGATACTGAGAAATTGTAAACAATTCAATTCTAACAATGCACTTTTTTGCATGTACTATTCTAATCTACGTTCAAAGTTAGAATATGGTTCGATTATTTGGTATCCTCATCAAATCAACAACTATGATGCGATAGAGAAGATTCAGCAAAAATTTCTGAAATATCTTTATTATAAAACATATAAAATTTACCCTGAACGTGGCTTTGACCACAACACTTTACTAAAAGAATTTGGTATTACTTCCCTTGTCTCACGTCGATTTATCTGTACAATTATGTTCTTATTTAAACTTTGCAATAATTCTATAGACTGTCCTCTTATTCTTAATCAACTATCCTTTAATGTTTACACAAATTCCAATGTTCCAAGGCTATCTGCGCGTTCACAATTATTTTTCAATTATCCTACTCCTAAATTTAATTCTCTCTTTTATTAAATTCGTCTATTTTACTTATGTCATCTAACTTTAACTTAATTAATAATGAAATACTTAGATATTCACAGCACTTCACCTAATAATCGAATAATCTCCATCTGCACAAGTTAACCTTTTTCTTTTCTTTTCAAATATCTCATTATTTTATCTTATTCTGTTTCTAAATAATATTGTTACATTCTGCATTATATGTATTTTATGTTAAGCATTTTATGTTAATAACTATATATTGTAATTTTGTATATATTTTAATTGTTATTCATTATGTAAAATAATTGTATTTTTGAGTCCTCTTGGAAGAAATCTGTGGGCTATATATTTAAAATATATAAATAAATGAATAATAGACTGATAATGTTGAACAAGAACTTGTTGTTACATTAAACTAAAATCCATATAAAAAATTGATATTTTATAGAAATTGTCGATTACAAAGAAAAATTTTCTGGTAATCTGAATTTATTGTTGAAGTCAATAACATCAACTTAAAAATAAACTAATGTCAAATCCACTACACATTAGATTGAATGCTAAACCTAGGGATATATTTTAGTTAACGTAGACTATTCATCTTAAGATAAGAGAGAATTAAATAAAATTTTCAATAACTCACGTTTTTGATTCCATTATTGGTGTTCCTGTCCTCCAACGGATTTTCTAAAAGGCCGCTGTCAAGATAATTCTCCAAGTTGGCGTGTTGCAGATAAAGCACCGTCAACAATCTGAGGAGAAGGACATTTATTGATAATAGTTCATTCACATTCATCGTAATATCAATACATAAACATATATATATATATATATATATATATATATATATATATATATATATATGAAATTCTTCTGTAACTATGTATGAATGGTTAATCCTCCTAAACTATAATTCGGATTTTCATGAATCTTCCTAAAGTTTGTTCGGGAAATTTTCAAGAATTTTTAGATTCATAGAAATATAGCTAGATTGTAGAAATAAATGGAAAAAATTACAAAAAATCGCTTATCATTGTTTGCCCTTGAAAATGTTTAAGGCATGGTTTGACATTAAAACAAATGAAAACTGTCATTTGCCAAACATTTCCATTCTTATAGGCTAAGGCAGTATTAAAATATAATATATTTATGATTATAAATGAGAAAAATGTAATGACTATATTATTATTGCCGAAAAGCAGCTGAGAGGTGCCAAAAATTAAAATAATATAAGATTTACAGCCAACATGCGTCTGACAGGTGATGCAGTTTGCGCATGCGTCTGTCAGTGATCGCACATCAAACTTAGCCTATAATTCACTTCGACTGATAATTATTTTTTAACTTTTGAATCCAGTCGTGTTTTGCCTTACTTTACTAAATCACAATACAAAAATAATTTACTTTCTCAAAAAATTATCTAGAAGTTTCATTTGGTCAAAAATTCATATGTTTGTCATTGGATACGAAATATTTACTCAAGACAATGGAGAGTTTTGGGTCTGAATATTTTCAATGTGCTCCAATTTGCATGAAATTTTGGAATTAGGTTCACCTTACTCTGAAGTTTAAAAGTAAAAATAATTTAGAATCATTTGCCACTTCCCGGGGGGATGACATCCCTTTTCAGTGGTGCAATTGTATCTCTTTCAAAATAACATCGGATATCGATAAAATAACTAATTAGAATAGAAAAAGGTTTAATAATGTTTTTCAAAAAAGAAATTACTTTTCAAGTTACTGGCTACTAAAAATTTGTTGTTTTTTGCGTTTTTCATCGTTTTTTGCAAATATTTTTAAAAATATACATTTAAACGAAAATCATGTAATGAACAAAATTATAACAAAAAATCTCATGATTTCATGAAAAAAAATCTATTTAAAAAATAAAAGATACGTATAATGGTATATAAATGAAAATTCAAGGTCTTTTACTAACCAATTATTGCTTTTTATTATTTTTCTGTTACACAAATATTGACAGAGTGTCCAACTAGAGTGTCTTTCGAGTCCTTCAATCCTTTGCCATTTCAAAATAAGAGAAGTTACGGTAAAATTTATGATAGAGAAAGTTGTAGCTCATTTAATTACCTTTAAAATAGTGTATTACAAGTTCTGATAAAATCAGAATTAAAAGAGTTATAACGGGTGGTAACGGAGTGTAAATTGTTTTCACTTCTGAACTTAAGATAAAGATTAGTCTATTTCCGACACACGCTTTTTTCCTCTCCATTTACTGCAATTATTTTGTAGATCGTAGGTTGAATAGAGCACATGTGAACAGGATTTGATAAATTAATTCATAAACTTAAGTAATAATTTATAGCGAATTATTAGTGAAAAAATGTAATTTAGATCGTAAATTACTAGAAGCCATGCTATATATTAATTCTTTCTGAATTTGTTATACCTTTTAAAAGACTTCAATTTCCAATACGTATATCTTAAGCTATAAATCACGATGACGATGAATTTTTGTGTGATAAATTTGGAAAATCAATGTTTTAGTCGTGAATAAACAAAAAATCATTCTTTTATACATCCACATCTACAGGTATGACTAAAAATATTGGATAACCCTTGGCATTAAAACAAAACGATCTATTGAAAATAAATTTGTTCTATAAATGGCAGTGTATAATATTTAATATACAATTTTATTGAACATATTGATGATATAAATTTCACAGTATAAAGAGTTATGTATAAAGGGTTCCTGAGACTCATAATTTTCTTTAAAGCATTTGTACATTTAAGGTCAACCATATGGATGTATATACATTTCGGTATAGACTGTAGTGTAAAAAACATAATTATTAACTAATTGGTAGATATCAGTATAGGTTTTTTTTAAAAAAAAATCGGACCTTTTGAATTGTAGACATGGGTACAGGATCACGTCTGTCGGGTCATCTAGTATATATATATATATATATATATATAATTTTATCATATAAAATTTACTGTTACAATAAAAGCAATACGCAAAGTATATTTTTTTAATATATTTCCAGTATCTGTGTACAAGAACAATATATCTTAATGCCTTCGTACAATTAACTTATATCAATAACAACAATTACTACAATTCAAAATTCAAACAAACACAACTGTAACATCTTCCAATCACAAACATTTCGACGAGAGAGGTCAATATATTTTCAACTCTGTGATAAAATCCAGTCCATCGTAATCTAATTGAATTAAATTCTCTAAATATAAATACATAGAAATATTTTTTTGTGACTCACCCAATTAGAAAAGCGACGCATCCCGTGGCGGCCGTGAAGCACGAGAAGAAACCAAAAGTCGTCAAACAGAGCAAACAAATCAACAGGCCCCATCCCAATATTACGATTTCCATTTATCAATTTATTAATTAGAATGAGATATCACAAGAAAAGCTTATTTCGTTTAATTTCACTACACGCTAAAGATTTATGTACAAAAGGAATTATCACATTGTTATTTTGTATTGAGAGATCGTGTTCATTTTGTTGTTATTGTTGGTAAAAATCACATCGTACACAGTCTGCTTGAATGATATGTTGTTAGAAGAGAAATGATTAATTTATCGCACATTTTTTTCCCTGTAATTCACTGATAACACGATATTTGATTCATTGTGTCTTTAGGAGATGAAAGTACGAAACGTCAAAATATTTACAGAACATCTGGCACTTTGACAGCTGACAGTTGAACTGGAGTGAAGTCGGCGAGGAAAATGATAGGCGGCAATTTTGAACGCGTCATAATTTGAAATTTGAAACTCAAGTTGAACTTTTTATTTCTTTTCAAATATCTTTCATTATTTTATTTTATTCTATGTAAATAAATAATATTGTTACATTCTTTATTATGTAATTTTGTGTTAAGTGCATTATTGAGTTTACTATATATTGTAATTTATTCATATTGTATAATATTTGTATATATAAATTGTTATTCATAATGTAAACAAGTCTTCTTTGTAATAAGTGGAAATATTTAAAAAATAAAAATAAATAAAAATAAAAATAAATATAAGAGTATTTGAAACAATTTTTTTATTTTATTCAAAAAACTAAAAAAATGTCCTGATATCATATATTGTTGTTTTTGTCTGTTAGTCATTTATGATATTATATTCAAAATAATAGAAATAAAAATCCATAAATAGTATCTAATAAAAAAAATCATATAATAAAAAATAAAAATAATACAAACGCTCAAAGTCTCGCGATCATAAGTTTCATTAAATAAGAACTTTTTATATAATAGATTTTAAAATTTTAGTTAACATTTTAAAACAGTCAAAATATGGTGTATTTGTTTATTTAACTAAATATCTTTTTAGTTTGTTTTAAATCCCTACTGTTAACTCTTGTTATTAAGTTTAATAATATTTTTTTGATTCTTATAAGTTTTGTGATTTATTACAAAATTACGATAATTTTTTTTATTATTATTATTATAATTATTTTTATTATTATATTATTAACTTCCCGTAGGGCATGTTATAGCAATCGCAAAAAATCGAAAATGAACATTTTTATATATCTTTACGTTTCAAAACCTTCTGAACATTTTGGCATACCTTAAAAAAAATGGATGCTTGTGTGTGTGCGGATACAAATTTTCGTCGACGATTTCGGGAACACGGATGAAGCGATTTGAATAATTCAAAAAACATTCGATTCGTATTGATAAGGAGACGTGCTGATTAATTTTTGGCAAAGGCAGGTCTAGCCATTTCGAAGATACGGGGCAAAAAGTGCCAAAAATGGTAACTCGATTTTTACCAGAACGGAGCGTCCGATTTTAATAATTCAAAAAACGTTTTACTTGTACTAAAAAGATAAAGAACTGATCAAATTTTCATGAAGGCAGGTCTAGCGGTTTCGGAGATCTAGTAAAAAAAGTAAAAAAAAATGCCATTTAGCGGTCAAAAATGATCATTAGACATATGCACATCAAATTATCAGATATTTTATAGAGATTTTAACAATAAGTATAAAGTTTACATTCCTATGGGTTCCGTACCAATGTTTATCCGTTAGACGGCGACGCGATTGTTTTTATTCTACTTTATTGTTTTTCTAGTATTTTTTTTTTTTACAAATTATATTTATTTTATTTATTAATTTTATTATTATCATTATTTGCTTTTATTTTATATTAAATCATCATAATTCAGATAACATTTTAATGAAAATAAGCTAAAGACGCTTTAAAGCATCAAAAATGATTTGTAGACAATATGTTCTTTTGTTTTATATAAATATCAGTACCAAAACAATTGCAAAATCATTTAAATCTTGCTTATTTAGTGTTTTAACGCAAATTTAACAATATTTGAATTTTGCGCCTCAAAACTGTCAACAATGGCTTCCGAACCGTCGGCCATTGTTGACAGTTTTGACGCGCGAATTACAAAACACAAATTCAAATCAAAATTATTTGCGCAAACGCATTATTTCTATAGAAATATTAGGAAAATCACATTTAATACAGTATTATATGTGAGAATGTATCCAAAAGTATATTCGAAGTTCTTAAAATAATGTCTTAGATATAAAATCAACTAAAAATAATTAAAATAATAGTATAAACTTAATAACAAGAGTGAATAGTAGGGAGTATAAGTTAATAAAATGTTTAGTGTAAAAATAAACAAATTCAGTATATTTTAACCGTTTCAAAATGATAACTAAAGTTTTAATTATATATATTTCTTCATTATATATAATTATATAAAATATAAAATAAAAATAAGTAGTTTATATAAATATTAATTAACAAAATAAAAATGAACCAATAAAGTGTCTAATCATTTGTCGATGAAGTAAACTGTTTCAATAATTATTAAAATGGTTAAAAAATTCCTGGCATCAATAAAAGCAGTGGTGACCCGTTTGGTTTTTGGGGCCCACGGATTTGTTGCCATTTGGCAAGTTACCCAGTACAAAGAAAATCTCCGATATTGGTATTTAAGTTGCCCTATTCTTCTGTTATTTTTTGAAGGAATCTTTACGTTAACCATTAAGGAGAACCAGGAATGGAAATGGTAAATATATATATATATACATATATATATATATATATATATATATATAATAACAAAATTCTAAACATTTTTTTAATAAGTAGAAATATTTTTTGTATTGTTAAATAATTTAGCAAAGCAAAGTAATATGCGACATGCATAAGTTTAAACGAATAATGTTTATGCAATTTTAGACTTGTTGCGTTATTTATTAAACTGAATTATATAATTTCATCTGCCAAGCACATACTGTCGGCTGTATATTATATTATTTTAATTTCTGGCACATTTCAGCTGCTTTGCGGCAATAATAATGTAGACATTTCATTTCTCTCGTATATTATATTCTTATAATATCGAGGCTCATAATTTCATCTAAATTCAAATTCCAAGTGAATTAACATTTCTAGCAGATGGCAGTTCAAATGTTTTCAATGTCAAACAATGATGAGTGTTTTTTTGTAATTTTTGCCATTTATTTCCACAATATTACTGTAGTTTTATTGCTCATTAAATCTTAAAAAATTTCCTTGACAAACTCTAAAAAAATTTATCAAAATCCGAATAACCGTTTAGGAAAAGTATCAAATCGTACACCCGTACGGACAAAAATTATATATAAAATATATATAGAGGTTTGATTTCTACATTATTAGTTTCGGAAATGACTAAGAAGTCCTTAACAGGATATTTTGCCTTCTGAACGACATGTCAATCATATTTAATGACCTTGTTGACTTTTTTTTGCAAATCATCAAAATACTATTTGATATATACTAATATTTTTTTAAAACTAGAATGGGTAATTTTATAATATTTAAATCTAAATAAAAGCCCTTCATTTGATAAAATGTTAATTGGGCAAGTCATTTCATCATACTTTACAACTAAACATTTAATTTTTGCAAAAGTTTTATTTAGGGAATTATAAGTTCTAAATATTTATAAAAATATATTTCAAATTTGTACAAAAATATAAAATTATTATTATTTATTTAAAGTTTAAATGTTTGTGAATGAAATTTCGTACAATTGATAACTACTTTCATAAAAATGTTTTTTTATTGTTTGATATACTCAGTTTTTAATAATTTTTTTTGTGAACTTCCCGTAGGGTAAGTTATAGTAATCACAAAAAAATCGAAAATGAAAAGGTTTATATATCTTTACGTTTCAGAGGTTTCTGAACATTTTGGCATACCTTAGAAAAAATGGATGTATGTGTGTGTATGTGTGTGTGTGTGTGCGTGTGTGTGTGTGTACGGATACAAATTTTCGTCGACGATTTCGGGAACACGGATGAAGCGATTTGAATAATTCAAAATTTGTATTGATAAGGAGACGTGCTGGTTAGTTTTTAGCAAAGGCAGGTCTAGCCGTTCCGAAGATACGGGGCAAAAAGTGCCGAAAACGGTAACTCAGTTTTTAAGAGAACGGAGCGTCCGATTTGAATAATTCAAAAAACATTTCACTTATTTCACTAATTTCAAAGTAAAAAAATGCCATTTGGCAGTCAAAAATGATCATTAGACATATGCACATCGAATTATCAGATATTTTATGAAGATTTCAATAATATGTATACATTTTGTTTACATTCCTACGGGTTCCGTACCAATTCTCATTCGTTAAACGGCGGCGCGGCGCTTACGCGCTTCGATATTTCGTCTCTATGCTGTTCAAGCAGTACGATTGCTTTGGAAAAAAGTTCAGAATTTCCAAAATATTTCAAAATACACTTTGCTTCAAAAAGTCTTTTTTTTCAAAAAAAAAAGTAAATTTTTGTCAAGAATTTATAGTTTCTCAAAAATTTAATTTTTCAGAGTAATTTTTTTTTCAAAAATGTTAATTTTTTACAAAAATAATAATTTTTGGTACGGAAAGTTTCAGCAATTTGCCTTAAGGCACTATGCCATACACCACTAGTTTTTGTTTCTAATTACATTAAAATTATTGAATGATAGTTGACACAGATTTAGTGTCAAAACGTACAGAAGAAATGTGCTAATGTTATTATATAATTTATTCATTTATGATAATTTAAATGTTAAAATAATTTTAATTTCCAGGTTTTGTCCATCAGTATTTCTCTATCTGGGCAGCGTAGTTCCAGCGATTTGGTTATTGGAATTAGATAAGGCGAGTGAATTTTTACCAAAATTGTAACATTTTCATTAAACATATGGTGCAAAAATTACACGAAAAATGTTTTAAGATAAGAAAAAAATATGAATTAATGCACAAATCGATTTCGTTTCAGGTTGATAGAAGATTAAAAGCGAGAGAAGAGACTTTTAACTTATCTGTTGCCGCAAATTTTCAAGACTTGAACAAATACTTGGGGGTAATAATATAATATAATATAATATATATATATATATACATATATATATACATAAATATATATATATATATATATATATGTCGGGAATTCCTTCCTGACGAAATAACTCCAGAACGCACGAACCGATTTCGACAATTTTGCATTCGTTGTAAAGGTCTCGGTTTCCTCAAGGTTTATAGCTAAGAAAATTAGTGGTGCATGGCATCGTGCCTTAATGCAAATTGCTGGAACTTCAAGCACCGTAATTAAAAATTCGAGTAATGATATTAGTGAGAATTATCAGAATTATGCTTGGTTAAATCAACGAGCAATTCTTGCCGCACAGAATAATGATGTACACGCACTGAATTTCACCATTCAATCAAAAATTGCTGGCGATTTGGTGACATACCAATGATTCCGACTGGTCTTCCGTTTGACTTCAAACGATTGCAATTTCCAGTTCGCCTTGCGTTCGCAATAACAAGTCGCAAGGCCAATCGCTTAGTGTTTACGGGATAAATTTCAAATAGATTATTTAGAAAATCATTGCTTTTCACCTGGGCAGTTATACGTTGCCTGTTCACGAGTTGGAAAACCATCCGCTTTGTTTGTGTTAACGTCAGACCAAAAAACAAAAAATGTGGTTTACCAAAGAGCACTTCAATGAAACGGATAATTTGCGGATTCACTTCCATTTACTTAGAGAAGTTCAACTAAAAAACACTTCATTTTTGTAATCGAAATAAATTCATTACTGTTGTGTAATAAAATCAAATTTTACCTTTTCAAATATAAAACAAACAAAACATTTCTTCATCTTGGCGAAACGGAGTTCGTCGGGTTTGCTAGTATATATATATATATATATATATATATATATATATATATATTAGGGTGGTCCTTAATATGGACATTTTTGAATTTCTTTGCACCCAAAGGCTCAAATGCTTCCAAAGAAATTAAAAAAAATCATCTAAAAGTTTAAGCTCTTAATATTAACATTTAGATAGTCCGCAATTCAATTAAAAGTTTCGTATATTTATTCTTCAAGTAAATTCTTGCGCCATCTGTGATTGAAGACTTGTAATTTCGATGGCAATTTATTACTGATAACTTGAGTGTCAAAATCACCAATTAAATAAACATTTTGCTGCAAAATTAATTTTGAGGCCATGATGAATAAATATAGTTAAACAGTCCACATGGATTTAATTAGAGGTTACGTGATTTATAAATATTTTTAAGTGTGAATTTACAAATGCTATCACAGATGGCGCAAGGATTTACTTCATTGTCTATTTTCTAGGTTCCAATACGTTTGCCCGAGATTCAACTTTCGGCCGAGACATGGGTGACTCTAATAGAACAATTTTTGATGTTAATTCTAATTGTCGGACGATGGATGCTCCCTAAGGGCGATTTGACCAGGGATCAACTCAGTCAACTTCTACTAGTCTACATAGGTAAAAAAAAGAGTGCGCGTAAGGTTTGCGATTGAAGTAAAACTTATTTGCTAATGTACAAGATGGCATTTAAGTAAAAATAAACACATCATATAACAGTTTTGAATAGTGTTTATCAGTAATATGGTAACGCTCGTGATGCACACATTTATTAGTGTTGACCATTATACACATTTATATAATGATAAATTATAAATTATATATTTATGATTGCATTAAAAATATGTATAATATTTACAAACAATAATGTAATTCAAGTCATACTTCAAAATATGACACGATCGGTTTGTCATTGTAATTATCATTTAAGACTCGAACCTTTATTAGAGAAATGACGTAATTGCTGATTAATAAACTCTATAATATTCGTTTACACAGTGGATAATGTTAAACAACGCCTGAACAAATATTGTTTTTACAATTTTACTCATCATGTAATAATTGTGTTTCAAGAACTTCATGTAATTAAAATTAACATACATTCATTGACTGCTTGTATTTAGTCAGTTTTACTTCAGAAAAAAATTCTCATGTTTTGAGTTTTTGAGTGCACGTTAAATTTTTGGTATTTCTTTTGATACTAAAAATATTGTTTTCACAATTTCACTCGTCATGTAATTGTGTTGGAAAAACTTCGTGTAATTAAAATTAACATACATTCATTGACTGCTTGTATTTAGTAAGCTTGATTTCAGAAAAAAATGTCACGTTTTGAGTTTTTGAGTACAAGTTAAATTTTTGGTATTTCTTTTGTTACTAAAAATATTTTATTTAAGTGTATATGTATAGGGTGTCCCAGCACTCAACGTCAAGGAAGTCAATGTCATAAGTGCCTTGAAAAAATAAAACAGAATATCTAACGTAGTTATTAGCTTTTGAGGGCAACCTAGAGTTTTAGTAATTTTTTTGTGAAATTTTTTAATATGTACAGAGTGTCTCAGAACTCAACGTCAAGTTAGTCAACGTCAGTAACTGTCCTGAAAAATGTAGTAAAAAATCCTGATGATGTGTTTTTGAATGTTAACTAGAACTGTAATAATTGTTTCACAATTATTAATTAATATAAAGGGTGTCCCAGAATTCAACGTCAGTAACTGTCTTAAAAAACTAGAAGAAAATGTCTGACGTTATTATGATCTTATTATTAAGATCTTTTAAGTGCAACCTAAAGCTTTGGTTGTTCTTTTGTGACTAAATTTTTTTCTAAAATAAGCATATAATATATACTTATTATAGAAAAAAAAATTACTTCTGGGGCACCCTATATATATACTATATATGTATAGAGTACCCCAGAACTCAACGTCAGTAACTGTCCTGAAAAACAGTAGAAAAAAATTAGCACACCTCGTTATGAGTTTTTAGGTTCAACCTAGAGCCTTGGTAATTTTTTGTGACTAATTTTTTTTTTAAATACGTATATATGTACAGGGTGTCCCAGAACTCAACGTCAAGAGAGTCAACATCTTGTAACAAGTCAAAAAAATTTTGGAACTCGTTTAAAAAAATGTATTAAAGTATGTTGGCAAGTTTATACATGAATTTATAAAAGAACTTCTTTTATAAATTCATATATGTTCTGGATGTCCCAGAATTCAACGTCAAGTTAAAGAGAATGATAGTAATGAATATTTATTAGAGAAATAACGTAATTGCTGATTAATAAATTCTATAATATTCGTTCACACAGTGGATTATGTAAAACAACGGCTAAAAAATATATTTAAAAACCTTCATGTAATTAAAATTAACATGCATTCATTGACTGCTTGTATTTTTTTTACTTTTGCGCTGGCGATATAATCTTATTCTTTGAACAGCTGTGATATGTCTCGCCTAAAAATAATTTTCTATTTCAATAACTTCAAAGATTTATAGAAACTACGAATAAAATAGAAATAATTTCTAATCAATAATCTTACGTGTAGTACATGAAACAAATGTTAAATTTGTTTTATTATTTTCAAGAAACAGGGTAAAATATTCTTCTGAATCAGGCATTTTTCATTAAATCAAAATTTATACTACGATGTAACTTTAAAATGTTTATTTATCTATCTATGCCGATTTCCTTGTTGATATCGGTACGTATACAACGTTGATGCCGGTACGCATACAACGACAGATCTCTATTCACTCGACACGACAGACCCGTATAGAAATGATCTCATCGAGAGCGAATGACAAATCATTGGCACTCGACTCTTATGTTATCTTATTTGCCGTAACGCACTTCCGTTGCATTTGTACGAATTTACACCCTATTCGCGCCTAAAAAAGTTTTACTTCACAATAATAATAATTTATTTATTTATTTTAAATATATAGCCCACAGATTTCTCCAAGAGGACTCAAAAATACAATTATTTTATATAATGAATAACAATTCAAATATATACAAAATTACAATATATAGTTATTAACATGAAATGCTTAACATAAAATTACATATAATGCAGAATGTAACAATATTATTTATAAACAGAATAAGATAAAATAATGAGATATTTGAAAAGAAAATAAAAAGGTTAACTTGTGCAGATGGAGATTATTCGATTATTAGGTGAAGTGTTGTGAATATCTAAGTATTTCATTATTAATTAAGTTAAAGTTAGAGAACATAATTAAAATAGGCGAATTTAATAAAAGAAAAATTAGATTTAAGAGTAGGATAATTGAAAAATAATTGTGAACGCGTAGATAGCCTTGGAACATTAAAGGATAGTTGATTAAGAATAAGAGGTCAGTCTATATAATAATAAATCCATAATTAATATTTTTCATTTACCCAGGTACTGCTGCGGATATAATAGAATTCTTCGACTCTTTCAAGGAGGACAAGGTTGCTAGTGAAAGAACTTTAGTTTTTTTAACACTGGCCATCTGGAGCTGGAGTTTACTCCAGTTTACTATCGTCTTAAGTGCCACAAGATCCAGAAAGCCCAGAGGCGTCGCTGGACAGAATGGCAGTGGCAGAAAAATCGTCCAAACTCAACAGTAAGAAATAGATAAAAACTAGTTGGTATTGGTATTTTGCCTTGAGGCAAGTTACATGAACCTCCCGATATGTATAAATGGTCGACTTAGTCAATAAAAAAAATAAATTTATTTATGAGTGATTAGAAGTATTCCGAGTAGATTTATTACACATTATTGAAAATCGAGCACGTCAACCCAGTCGGAGTATTTTTTAAAAGCAAATTTTCAAAAATCAATAATTTTTATAATTGAGCCAGTTTTTTGTAGGACTTTAATTGTTTAGTATGTTTATTAAGACCAAGTACTCCATCGTTATATGTAGTAAATCGTCTGATTTTAATTTTAACAAACGTCAAAAGAACTATACTCATTTTCTCAAACTTTGTTGAATTTTTTAAATTAAACTACTTGTCGTAAGGCCGTAATATTTCAGTAAGTTCTATGAAACTATGATATAGTATATCGCCAAAAAAAGTTCCGTAAAAATCGGCTTAAATTTATTTTTCAACACTTAATTACAAGAAAACGGCTCGGTAGATTTTCACCTAAAACTAATGAGTATGATTCCCATCTAATATCTTTCGAACAGTTTTTGATTTTTTAAAATCAATTCGGTAGAATGAGCTCAAATGTGGACAAAAAGTTTAACACACTTTTTCAAATTACAAAGAAACGGCTTGGCAGATCGTCTCACAAAACTGACAAACTATAGTGCTCATTGAGGTACATCGAATGGCTTTTAAATTTCTGAAATCGGTCCAGGCGTTTTTGAGCAAACGTCGATGAAAGTTCTAATTTTGAAAAATGCCAAAGAGACCGTACTAATTTTTGCAAACTTTGACGAATTTTTGAAGCTGACGAGTTGTCGTAGGACCATAATATTTTAGTATGATCTAGAAGACTATGGTATCTACCGTCAAAAAAATAATTATAAAAATCGACAAAAAAAATTTTTTTAACACCTTATTACAAGAAAACGGCCCGGCCGATCTCTACCAAAAACAAATCAGCACGATTCCCAACCAATATCTTTCGAACGGTTTTTGAATTTTCAAAATCGATTCAGAATTGCGGGCTAAAACGTGGACGAAAACATTTTCACTTTTCTGCGATTTACAAAGAAACGACTCGGACGATCGTCGCACAAAACTCAGAAATGCTAGTCCTCATTATAATACATCGAATGGTTTTTAAATTTTTGAAATCGGTCCAACCGTTTTTGAGAAAACGTCGATTTACGGCAAAAAATCTGTTCGCACACACACACACACACATACTTTTTGCAAATTTGGTCTTATTCGATTCAGAATGGCTTGAAACGTCGAGGAGAAAACATAAAATTAGCTATTCGGATTATTTGATGAAAACATAAACTTCTCCTTCGAGAAGTTAAAAATAGCAAGAAAGTCTTATTAGTTAAGTTGTATCATTTACCTTTTTAGGAAATCCCAAGGTTGTTGCTGCTCCATCGACGCATGGGGCATAGCCCTAAATATACTTTTGCAAGACGCCCCATTTTTAGCATTTCGTCTGCTGATAATAATTCACTACCGCATCGTGAGTTATATGAATGTATTTTTCACGTGCAAAAATACTCTGGTTATATTATTGCAACTTTATCGACTGTACGTTGTGCATGCCGAAGGAAGAAGAAAGTTGCAGAATGGAGGACGAAGGCGGAAAAGACGAGACCAGGTAAGACCAGAAGCTATATACTTAATAATAATAATAATAATAAATCAATGATTATCATTTTATTTTCATTGTTCACTTCTTGAACCAACTAGTTGGTTTGGTATTTAGCCTTGAGGCAAGTTACATGAACTTTCCGATATGTGTAAATAATCGACTTAATCAAAAAAAAAAATGTAAATAATATACTTTAATCAATCAATCCTACTTTAAAAAAAACGATAATAAGTTTAGCATAGTTTGACGAATGTTTAAAATTAAACTAATTGTCGTAAGGCCGTAATATTACAGTAAATTCTATAAGACCATGGTATATATCGCCAAAAAAAGTTTCATAAACATCGTCTTAATTTTTTTTCAACAGTTAATTACAAGAAAACGGCTCGGTAGATTTTCACCTAAAATTAATCAGTACCATTCCCAACTAATATCTTTCGAACAGTTTTTGATTTTTTAAAATCGGTTCGGTAGGATGAGCTTAAATGTGGACGAAAAATTTAACACTTTTTTAACTTCCCGTAGGGCAAGTTATAGTAATCGCAAAAAAATCGAAAATGAAAATTTTTATATATCTTTACGTTTCAAAGGTTTCTGATCATTTTGGCATACCTTAGAAAAAATGGATGTATGTGTGTGTGTGTGTGTGTGTGTGTGTGTGTGTATGTATGTATGTATGTGCGTGTGTGTATGTATGTGCGGATACAAATTTTCGTCGACGATTTCGGGAACACGGATCAACCGATTTGAATAATTCAAAAAGCATTCGATTCGTATTGATAAGGAGACGTGCTGATTAGTTTTTGGCGAAGGCAGGTCCAGCCGTTCCAAAGATACGGGGCAAAAAGTGCCGAAAACGGCAACTCAGTTTTTAAGAGAACGGAGCGTCCGATTTTAATAATTCAAAAAACATTTTACTTGTATTGACAAGATAAAGAATTGATCAAATTTTCATGAAGACAGGTCTAGCGGTTTCGGAGATCTAATGATAAAAGTAAAAAAAAATGCCATTTGGCGGTCAAAAATGATCATTAGACATATGCACATCAAATTATCAGATATTTTATAAAGATTTTAACAATAAGTATATTTTTTTTTACATTTTTATGGGTTCCGTACCAATGCTTATCCGTTAGACGGCGGCGCGGCAGTTGCGCGCTTTGACATTTTGTCTCTATGCAGAATAAAGCAGTACGATTGCTTTGAAAAACAGTTCAGAATTTCCAAAGTATGTCAAAATGAAAAAAACATATTTTTTTCAAAAAAATTTTGTTTTCAAAAAAAATTTTTTTTTTCAAAAAAAGTAATTTTTGTCAAATTTATAGTTTCTCTCTAATTTTTTCGAAGTAAATTTTTTTCAAAAATGTTAATCATTTTTAAAAAAATAATAATTTTTGGTACGGGAAGTTCCAGCAATTTGCCTTAAGGCACGATGCCTTAATTGCCTTAAGACAGAATTCCACTTACAGCTAGTTTCAAATTATAAAGCAACGGCTTGGCAGATCGTCGCACAAAACTGACAAACGATAGTCCTCACCGAAATACATCAAATGGCTTTTAAATTTCTGAAATCGGTTCAGGCGTTTTTGAGAAAACGTCGATCAAAGATTTCATTTTGACAAATGTCAATAAAACGAAACCAATTTTTGCAAACTTTGACGAATTTTTAAAGCTAAACGAGTTGTCGTAGGAACGTAATATTTTAGTATGACCTAGAAAACTATGGTATCTACCGTCAAAAAAAAATCATAAAAATCGTGAAAATTTTTTTTTTAAACTTCATTACAAGAAAACGGCCCGGCCGATCTTTACCAAAAACTAATCAGCACGATTCTCAACCAATATCTATCGAATGGTTTTTGAATTTTCAGAATCGATTCAGAATTGCGGGCTAAAACGTGGACGAAAAAAATTTTTCACTTTTCTGCAATTTACAAAGAAACGGCCCGGTCGATCGCCGCACAAAACTCAGAAACGATAGTCCTCATTGAGATACATCGAATGGCTTTTAAAATTTAGAAATCGGTCCAGCCGTTTTGGAAAAAACGTCGATTTACGGCAAAAAATCTGTTCACACACACACACACACATACTTTTTCCAAATTTGGTCTCATTCGATTCAGAATGGCTTGAAACGTCGAGAAAACATAAAATTAGCGAATCGGATTTTTTGATGAAAACATAAACTTCGGGAAGTTAAAAATATTTTATAGAAAATAAAAACAGATGTAATAATTTTTTATCCTCAAAATCAATTGTTTTGTCAATACAAGCAGAAAGTTTTTTATATCATTCGAATCGGACGCTTATTTCACTCAAAAAATGCTATTTTTTGCACATTTAGCTTTGTATCTTCAAAATGGCAGGACCTGTCTTTGCCAAAAATTAATCACCTCTTCTCCCAATCATTACAAATTGAATGTTTTTTGGATCATTCAAATCCGATACTCCGTTCTCTCAGAAACTCGATTTGTAATTTCTGCACTCTTTGCTCCGTATCTCCGTAACGGCTGGACCTGCCTTTGCCAAAAACTAATAAACACATCTCCCTATCAATAGTAATCGAATGTTTTTTAAACAATTCAAATCGGTTGATCCGTGCGCCCGAAAACTTGGACGAAAAATTTTATCCATACATACATACACACACACACACATCCATTTTTTCTTAGGTATGCCAAAATGTTCAGAAACCTTCAAAACGTCGAGAAATGCAAAAATTTTCATTTTCGATTTTCGGCCCGTTACTATGACTACCCTACGGGAAGTTAATAAAAATTAATTTTTGTTCCCAAGGTTCATGATTTCGAGTTGACAGACATCAGTGTCATTTCTGGCCGAATGGTTAAGGATTCATCAAGAAAACGCGAAAAATATCATCGTGATGATGGGAGTGATGATGGTGATGAAGGAAGTAGACGGAACAAAGAACGTGCAGGCAGAAAAAAACATCAGAAAAGTGATGGATCATTGAGGTAAGTCCTTAAGGGGCACAACTAGTGTGAAATTTAAAAAAAATCGAATTTTCAATTTGTCCATATTTCGATAGGTTGTACCTTTAAAAATAACATACCGAAATTTTAAATCGATATCTTAAATTGTTTTTGAGTCACAGCCATTTAAAGAGTATATGTATAGTATATAGTAGGGAATGCAATACCGGTATACCGAATTACCGGTAAACCGCCGGATTTTTCGGCGGTATTTTTACCGGTATTTACCCCAAAAATACCGGTATTTTCGGTATTTTTACATAAGCGCTATTTGATACATAATACACTACAGTTTAAATTTCTCGGAACAAATTTATCTTTAACTTTCATAATCGCATAAACAGCTATATCTTCAAGTGATTCTATAGGATAAACAAATGTCAAATATTATCTCAACTCGTCATTAAATTGAATATTTATTGCTTTACTAAGGGCTTCAAATCGTGTTACAATAAATAGAATTGGACTGATAGATAATGGTGTTTGTTTCATCTTTTGTAAAAATGTAACGGTTTTTTTAAGTGATATTTGCGCCAAAATGTTTTATATCATACAGATTACCTCTTATAAATCGTAATCTTAATTTTTTTCTAACTGTATACATAATAATTATGATAATTACTAAATTTTTTAAATATAAATATAAATATAAATATAAATATAAATATAAAGAGAAATAGAATAGAAAGAGAAAGATAAATAGAAATAGAAATAAATATAAATAAAATAAAAGAAATATAAATAAATGTAAATGTAAAGGTAAATATAAATATAAATATAAATATAAATATAAATATAAATATATACATAAATATAAATATAAATATAAATATTAATATAAATATAATCATAAATATAATCATAAATATAAATATAATCATAAATATAATCATAAATATAAATATAATCATAAATATAATTATAAATATAAATATAATCATAAATATATGATATAGTATTTCACTCGCACGTTGAACTCACATTCGCCAAATGAGCCGGTAAATGTGCATATTTACCGGTGAATGTGCACATTCACCGAAATATTCACATTTACCGTAACATATATAATATAACGATCATTTAATCTTTAAGCGCGTTTTTCTCGAAACAGCATTTTCCGAATTTGCTACAGCGATTATTCCAAAACAAATTATCCGATCACTATCAATTTTTTTACATGTTCTATATATAGTTCTCCGTAAAATGAACTATCGATTTTTTGATCGGATCAAAAATCGAATTTTGGCAGTCCAAAAACGACCAAAATTTTGGGTGAAATTTGACTTTTTTTAAAAAAAACGCCGTCATTTTGTCAATTTTTGATTTTTTTTTTCTTTATTGCAGTGCATTTTACAGGCAATATTATCTAGTTTAACGAGAATTTTTTCTTTTAAATTTCATCTACGTAGAAGGCCGGAATCACTGCAGCAGTGAAGGGCTTTTTTTTGTCGCGCCGTTGGAGATCGACGATAACTTAAAAAATATTCAATTTTTTTCTTCAAAAATTTTACTATGTATTCCTAAAACATGTATAAATATATTCCTAAAATGTTGAAATGATTGATAAAGTAGTTGTTTTAATATAAATTCCCAAAAATCCCTTTTATTTTAGGCGGTTACACTAGTTGTGCCCTTTAATCCACCAGTACCAATTTCACAACCTCCTATTTTTCCCTCAGGCAATCCAGTAGCGTCCGCAAAGACACAGGCTACTCCACCGCCAGTTCCCAGCACACCGACGAAAAACAAACCCAGACTCGTCGACCAAAAACCAAACCTCCGCGTCTATCCCGTCAACCGCCACCAGAAAAACCAAAGAAACCACCATCACACAGTCGTCGCCATCGCACAGAGATCGACATACCGGAAGAAGACGTCGACGCGTCTTCGGAAGTGATATCACTGTCGCCTGAGAGCGATTTCGAGAAATATGAAAATAAATGCGGAACGAGGAGGAATCGCGAAGTGGTTTATTCAAGCGATTGACGCCACCAGATAGCCGTTGTGGCGATGTTTTTCTTGTTTTTTGCTATTTTGATTTGCTGCTTGTTGTTTATACACAGCGGTATCAGTGGTGAGGGACTTGTTATTGCTAAAGTTAAGAGGAATTGATACATAGATACAAACACACACATACATATATATATATATTAGGGTGGTCCTTAATATGGACATTTTCGAATTTCCTTGCTCCCAGAGGCTCAAATGGTTCCAAATTGATGAAAAACAATTCTCTGAAAGTTTTAGCTCTTAATATTAACGTTTAGATAGAGCGCAATTCAATCAAAGTTTTGTATGGAAATAGCATGAACTTACAAAACAAAGAGACTCTGTTATATTTAATAAAGTATGTATCAATTTTTTACTTGTTCAATTTACACCTAAGTCTGTTTTTACACGGTCTTTTTGTACACGATTTTGATATAACACGGTTTGAAAATTGAATATTTTTAATTTTTTTACACGATTTTATTCCATTTAGCACGATTTGAAATTTTATGTACTTAAATTTTTTTGTCAAATTTAATTTTTGCGATGTATTGTCATATCACAAAAAAGTATTTATGAAAGAAAAAAGTCTGAAACCATCGATAGTGTCGATAGTTTGCGAACACTAGCTTAAAGATTTAAGTGAATTCCCCTTTAGCGCGTACAAACAATTTTTACTGGTCAAAGCGAATGTGAATAGCACTAATTTAGGGGAATTATTATTAAAATAAACATGAATTCTTGTTCTTGAAAATTCTTGTTTTTCACTAATTTTAATAGTTTTAGAGATTAGGAACAAATCACCCATTTTTGTATAAGATCAATGTCTTTTTTTACACGTTTTTTTTTTACACGGTTTCTTCTGGAACCAATCTCCGTGTAAAAACAGACTTAGGTGTATTTTAATCTATAATATACTTTTATAATATTTTTTTAAACTTTATAAAAATTCTATTTGATACTGATGTTTATCAAATTTAAAAAAAGCTGAATAATGACACACATACCGTGTCGAAACGTATAAATAAATAGATCATTATTTATTGTTCTTTTAATTCGACGGTAGGCTGCAAATTAACATTTCATGAATATATATGTAACAGTACTCATCCAAAACGACTTAACCAATTTTTATGAAATTGTATAATCACGTTCGTTATGACTAACAATAAGAATCGGCCAACTATCTATTTTTCGTACCATTAAGTAGGTAGAGTTAGTTAAAATATTTTTTTTAGTTTTTGGACATTTTTTTATGATGTTTAATTAAAAGCAAATTCAGCCCTAAATGTTCAATCGCCACAAATTCCTATTTTAGTTATACATAGACATTTTATTTTAGTTCCAGTCAGTTAATGTTTTATACTTAACTTCATTTAAGATGTTTTTGAGCTTTGGAAAAAAAGATTCTTCATAAACACTTAATAATAATTCTAATTGCAATAAGTTAATTTTTTTTTACTTCACAACTTTTCTAGAAGTGATTAAATACACACACACATATGGCAAAACAACGTTTGCCGGGCCATCTAGTATATCTAATATATAAAATTCTTCTGTAATGATGTATGTAAGCATATTCCACCCAAACGATTATTCGGATTTTGATAAATCTTTCTGAAGTTTGTTAATTCTGAATTTTTTAGGATGTATGCGATTATAAAAATATAATAATATTGTAGGAAAAAATGCAAAAACAACATGTCATTAATTAAATATTTTGCTGCAAAATTAATTTCGATGCCATGATGAATAAATATTTCGTTACACAGTCTACATGGATTTAATTAGAAGTCAAGTGTTTTATAAATAGTTATAGGTGTAATAACATTTGGGTCCACAAATGCTATCCCAGATGGCGCAAGAATTTAATAAATATACGAAGCTTTTAATTGAATTGCGGACTATCTAAATGTTAATATTAAGAGCTCAAACTTTAAAAAAAAAAAATTTATTAATTTGGAAGCATTTAGACCCTTGGCAGCAAAAAAACTTGTAAATGTCCATATTAAGGATCACCATCATCTTGCATTTTATTTGAATTTCAAATGTTCCCATGTACATAGAACAAGGAAACAAGAATGAATAAAATGAGCTTGAGAATATATCCTTATAATACTTAAGAAAAACGTAATATTTCATCATGAATGTTTCGAGTTAAGATTAGTCCATTAAGAATAGTCCTCATAAAAGGGAACATCAATATATATGCTTCCTTATATTTATTACTTAAAATAAATATAGGAAAAGTGAATCAATTGAATCTAAACCGAAAGTACCAGCTACCTCTTTCAGTTTTTTATATATTAAAAACAACCTGTGTAGCTTTAAAAGTTAGTACAATGAAACTGATGTGTATTGTTAAAATAATTCACCTGTTATTATCTTTTACCATTTTATTTGTAACAATATTCATAATAATAATTCTTGTGGAATATAATCTAAGTATTAAAATAAAATTTACTCTCTATATACTATCCTGTTAGCATCTTCGTCATTATCAATTCTGATAATCTTTTTAACCACTTTAACTTCCTGAGTGGATCCATCGTCATCACCATCATCATTGTGTTTCCGTTTAACAACAGGTTGCGTACTCGTTACTTCTATAGTTGTAATATCATCTTCATCATTCGGATTGTTTTTATCTTTTTGCACTGATATAACTTTTATATTGTAACTGGTTGTTGTAACCCCTTCATCGTCTTCGACCTCAATGTGTTCAATAACATCCTCATAGTTTTCTTCAATATACGGATCAATGGTTACAATGTTGTTCTGATTTGGGTTGTAAGGTTCTTCAAACTGTTCACTAGCATCTTTTCTGATTTTATAGAAAACGTCTTTACGTCGTTGTAGCAATTTTGCACGGGTTTCTTCAAGGGTTTCAAATTCAGGAGCGTAACAGACGTGTAGGATGCCCCCGTAGAAAGAGCTGTCGTCTAGTTTCTTCTTGGCTATTCGTGCAGACTGTATGTTGTAGTAGGCGACATGAAAACATTCTGTAAAGAGCTCGACTTCGTAGTCGTTTGTTACGTTGATTGAAACTAGGTCTCCGTATTTTTGACAAGAGTTCTTAAGTTCGGCACGTAGGTTGATTTTGGGTACTCCGAAGACTAGCAAATGCACGGATTCGTTATTGGTTGTGTAAACCTATAAAGGAAACATTAGTAGTGCCAGTTTTATATAGTTTATATATATTTTAATCAATTACTAACTTTGACAGCTGTTAATTTACGGCCTTGTCTGTAAGGTGGTCTCGAGGTGCATAATTCATATTGTTTATGATGATCCAGCCGTCGTGGTACTTTAGTTGACATTATTATAGTATATTGATGGTAGTTTAAACACTTTTGATCGCTTTAATAGATTTGTTTTTGTTAATTTGCGATAATAACCTTAAAAGATCACTTTTGTTGTCATTATTGATGCGTAAGGCGTATGATAAGATGGCGCCAGCGACAGGAGTGGAGACATCTCAACGCGAAGCGGCAAACTTTTCAATAAAAACCGTTATTTTTCAAATTAGGTGTAAGTGGTAATTTCAATAATAATTGAAATTTAGCTTTAGACACATTTATAATATAAAGCATTTTGCTCTACCAAATATTTGGGATGATTTTTTACAAGCAACTCAAATTTATAATAGCATCAAAATATTTATAATATTTAAAAACAATAATGTAATTAAAGTCATACTTCAGATACGACATGATCGGTTTGTCATTGTAATTAGCATTTAGAGAAATGAAGTAATTGCTGATTAATGAAATTCTATAATAATTGTTCACAGAGTGAATAGCTGTAATATAACAAGCTTGAACAATTTCATTAACACTATCAATGAATAAACTGCATAGATGTCCATTATATGAAGTATATCTGTATATAAATGGTACACAGCTACACAAACTATTGTTGTGCTTGATCTCCTGTTTAGAGTAATAAATCTGAATATCAATTTATTCTTCATTAATTATAAAAATATGCAACGTTGTAATACTTAATAGCCATCATGATCGAAAAACATGTAGACTTCATCTAAACTTCTAAAAGTGTCTGACAATGAGATATAATTCTGGAAAAGATATATCTTCGGCATGATAGAATAAAGCTGTGCTACTTTAATATTTTTCAATATCTATAAAAATGCAGAGAATTATTATGTTAAACAACGCCTAAACAAATATTGTTTTCACAATTTGACTCATCATGAATTTGTATTTGAAACACTTGATGAAATTAAAATTAATATACATTCATTAACTGCTTAATTGTTTTTTTCTACTATTTCACTGGCGATACAATGTCATTGTTTGAGCAGCTGTAGTATCTATCTTGCATATAAAAATAATTTATATATATGTATATACATAGTATAACAACGAATAATATAAATTCCTTCAATAAACTTACGTTTCGTACAAGGCACAAATATTTCATTTATTTTATTAGTTTCACTATACAATCAAAACAATCATACTCGAGAAGAAGAAGTTTTACTTAAAAACACACACGCATACGCAAGCATACAGAATATTACTAACAAAATATTTACACAAGTCATTGATAACCATGTTTATTTATTTGACAATATATATATATATATATATATATATATATATATATATATGTGCATATATTAATTAATTCATACATTTTTAATTTAATTAATTTCTATAAGCAGTCATATGTAACCTTTAAACTAATTTTGTAAATACTAATTACTCATTGGTATGAGCAACCATGTGCTCTTTCAGGGTACTTGATTGTTTGAATACCTTATCGCAAATTTTGCATTTGAAATGGCGCTCTTTAGTGTGAATGAGCATATGTCTATTCAAGTGAAACGATTGTATGAATGTCTTGTCACAAATTTGACAAATGTGGGGATGTTTGCCAGTGTGAATGACCATATGTCTGTTCAAGGTACTCGATTGTTTGAATGTCTTATCACAAATTTGGCAAACATGGGGACGCTCGCCAGTGTGAATGAGCAAATGTTGATTCAAGTTATTCAATTGTGTAAATGTCTTATCACATATTTGGCAAATGTAGGGACATTCACCAGTGTGAATAAGCATATGTTTATTCAAGTGAAACGATTGTGTGAATGTCTTATCACAAATTTGACAAATGTGGGGACGTTTGCCAGTGTGAATGACCATATGTCTGTTCAAGCTACTCGATTGTGTGAATGTCTTATCACAAATTTGGCAAACATGGGGACGCTCGCCAGTGTGAATGAGCAGATGTTGATTCAAGTCTGACGATTGTCTGAATGTCATATCACAAATTTGGCAAATATGTGGCCGTTCGCCAAGGTGAATGAGCATATGTCTGTTCAAGGAACCCAATTGTGTGAATGTCTTACCACATATTTTACATTTTTTAGGATGTACCCCATTGTGAATTATCATATGTCTGTTCAAGGTACTCGATTGTGTGAATTTCTTGTCACAGATTTGGCAAACATGCGGACGTTTACCTGGCCCCTTTGCAGTATGAGCGCGAATATTTCGTTTTTGATTACCAGATTCATTCAAATGTGAAATTTGTTCTCCTGCTGGAGCACAACTGTGTTGATCTAAATGATATTGTTCAGTAAATGCTTTATCACACTTTGTGCATGTGAAATGTTTTTCACCTGTATGAGATTCTATATGTATTTCTAATGCACATGCATCTGGTAAAGTCTCTGAACAATATGTATACTTATGACAATAATTCACCATATGCTGTTCTAAATAAAGCAACTTTCTAAATGTTCTATTACACTTGTCACATTTATAAGGAGCAGTCTGAATTAATTCCTGTTTGACTTCTTCTATTTCTACTATAGAGTTCTTAAATCTCTTCAGACATGTTTTGTCATCCTCTGAACACGATTCATGATCTTCCTCCATTTCCTGTTTAATGTCTTCGATTGGATATTCTTGTGGTTCAATTTTAATTATCGGATCATCAGCAGCTTCAGACATTTTGAGATATTTGTGCACCGAGTATGTTCTACAAGCATTAACAAATATAGTTGGTTAGTTTAAATAAACTATTGTTAAATATGATAATTAATTTCACTAGAACATTAGCTGTTGACAGTTGGAGCATGGAGTATAACTTTAGAGAGTGCACTGCGTTTATGCTCTCGTAACATTTTACAGGAATGAATGTTTAAATTAATAATCATTGTAAACTGTCAACACAAATGGTTCTGAAAAAATAATATATTCATATTATGGTTTTGTCTATGAATATAATCTTACGTTAATTTAACACAAGTGTATTTTGAATGATGTATGTCGCCAAGATAATTCCTTCTTTAAAATACTTTATATTTGACGGACAGTAAATATGAATCAGCTATTGTTCAAAGCTTTTGCCTTACGCAGAGCTGAAATGTAAAGGTGAAATTAAGCAATAATTTTGCATTATTTATAATTCTTTCTAAATAAAATCAATATAACTAAAAGTTAAACACATGGAAGAACCTCAAAGTATTTTACACTACCTTTATGCTTATCAATCAATCACAAACACGTCTTTATAATATACAATGTTATTTTTAAACTCAAATTTATATTTAATATACTTATCATGACATTTAATTAACAATTAAATAAGCTAAATATAAAACGTTCTTTCGGTACATCAATTTGTTTGACAGTTGAACGAAGTTCGTTTCGTAACTTTGCCTCGCTTTAATCTAATGTCACTATTGCCAACCGTAAGAGCAGAGCATAGATGAATAAAAATAAATAGATCGCTATCTCATGCCATTTGACGTTTCCTCCATTTTAATTTATACAGCGATCTGAAGAAGGCAGCACTTGTACAGTATATAACATAGATAAATACGATAAATTAGCATATATATATATATATATATATATATATATATATATAAGGCATATAACTTGTTTACTTATTTATGGTATATAAATTAATCGCTGGCATTATTCCTAGATATGGTTCGTATACGTAATTCAAAATAAGAAAACCCTCGGAAAAAAGAAAGCACACGAATAAGAAAGTTATTTTTGTTTAAATTTCGTTTTAAACACTCGTGATGCACATATTTATTAATGCCAACCATTATACACATTTATATAATGATAAATTATAAATTATGTATTTATAATAGCATTAAAAATATGTATAATATTTAAAAACAATATGTAATTAAGGTCATACTTCAAATATGACATGATCGGTTTGTCATTGTAATTAGCATTTAGAAATGAACCTTTATTAGAGAAACGACGTAATTGCTGATTAATGAATTCTATAATATTCGTCCACACAGTGGATTATGTTAAACAACGCCTCATCATATAATAATTGTGTTTAGAGAACTTCATGTAATTAAAATTAACATACATTCATTGACTGCTTGTATTTTTTTACTTGTTCGCTGTCGATACAGTCTCATTCTTGGAGAAGCTGTAGTATCTGTCTTACCCATAATTAATATAATTTCAATTTTTGACCTCACAAATATATAGTAACTATAAATAAAACAAATTACTTCAATAAACTTACGCTTTTTACACGTCAGATTTTTCATTTGTTTTATTATTTTCACTATTCAACCATTAGCACTCGACTCGAGCGTAACGTTTTTTTCGTTGCATTTGCACAGATTTACCCCTTAGTCGCGCCTAAAGAAGTTTTACTTCAAATATTTTTGATTCATATTTTGACGAAAGGTCAAAAATTGGCTCACATACTTCTTCCAAATTTGGTTTCATTCAAATTCAGAATGACTTAAAACTTCAAATATAAATCAAATTTTCTGGTAAAAACACATACTACTCCTTAGGAAAGAAGAAAATTTTAATACTTTCGAAAATTTGTTTACCTAAGTTTTGAAACTTCAATCGAAAATATTATTATTACACAAACTTTGTTACTTTATGTAAATTTTGAGAATTTTTTCGTAACTTTAATTTATTTAGGATAATAATTTAAGAATTTAGGATAATTAAAAAGTAATAAATTTTCTAATTTCGCTTTAAGTCCCTTGAAAATTTCTATTCTAATTTTTCTAAATATTAAGAAAAAAGAAGAATACAATTTTAAGAAAATTTATAACTTTTTAAAGATTTCTATTTACATTTTAATTTTTTTCTAGAAAGTTATAAAATTGTTTGCAATTTTCATATTTCCCACTTATAAAGATATTTAAAATTATTTTTTTAATATCTACAGATTTTTATTAAATTTTTGTCAGTGAGTTATGAAATCTAAGATGAAAATTTAATATTATCTAAAAGATTTGTTTTCAGAATATTAAATCATTTTAGAAAATATGTTATTTTTTTAAATCTGTTCAAAAATTTATTTGCTACTATTTTTTTTTTTTGAGAAATTATAAAATTATTTGAAAATTTCATATTTCCAAAAAAATTGAAACCTTTGTTTTCTAAACTACTCTAGTATTAATTTTTCTAATTTAATCTAATTTTTTTCCAGAAAGTTATAAAATTAGTTAAATATTTAATATTTTCAAAGAATTAAATTTAAGAAACTTGTATTTTCTGAAAATTTAAACAGTTTATAAAATTTGTCAGTTTTTAAATCTCTTCGAAAATCATTTTTAAAACCTGGATTTTTCAGAATTTAAAAAATGAGTTAGAAATGACAAATGTTGAAAATTCGAAACTTTAATTTTATGAAAATTTGAAACTTCCTAAATATTTAAATATTTTAGATTTTTTTTGCTGTTTTACATCTTTTCAAAAATTATTTTTTCCAAATCTTTTGTTTTTGTCTTAAAATTAGTTGAAAAATTAATATTTTCAAACAATTAAAACGTTGTTTTCTAAAAATATGAAATTTTCAGAATATTCAAAGATTTTAGAAAATTTTGTTATTGTTGTAAAATATCTGAAAATTGTATCTTATTTCAAATTTATAATTTTCTTAGAATGTTCTTAAATTAATTAAAAAGTTTAAATTTTCGAAATTTTCATCTCCGTTTTTATCAAGTAAATAAAACCACTTATCAAAATTAGAAAATTTTCCAAAATTTTAAAGTATACTTTCTAAAAATTGCAGTCAAAACCACGATGAAAACTGGTGGGGTGGGTGGCATCGTGCCTTAAGGCAAATTGCTGGAACTTCCTGTACCGTAACGAATGTTCGAGGAATATTGAATGTTCATCATAAATAATTGTCTAATATTTATAAGAATTATATAAACTGAATTGCAGAGTTGAAATTATTTGTTTAAAGTATATAAGAACTTAGTCAGAATTAAATAAAAATCTGAATTATTATTTTCGATATACAAAAATTAATAAAAAAAAAAAAAAAATTGAAACAAACATTTTTTTTTCCAAAATCAATTACTTTGTTAAGACAAGCAGAAAGCTCTTTGAATCATTCAAATCGGACGCTTAGTTCTCTCAAAAACTGCCATTTTTTGTACATTTAGCTCTGTATCTCCGAAATGGCTGGGCCTACCTTTGCAAAAAACTAATATCCCCTTGTCCCAATCATTACTAATTGAATGTTTTTTAGATCATTCAAATCGGATGCTCCGTTCTTTCAAAAACTCGATTTCTATTTTCTTCACTCTTTGCTCGTTATCTCCGTACCTGCTAGACCTGCCTCTACCAAAAACTAATCAGCACATCTCCTTATCAATAGGGATCGAATGTTTTTTAAACCATTCAAATCGGTTGATCCGTGCGCCCTAAAACGTGACTGGAAATTTGTATTCATACATACACACACACACACACACACATCCATTTTTTCTGAGGTATGCCAAAACGTTCAGAAACCTTCAAAACGTCGAAAATGTAAAAATTTTCAATTCCGATTTTCGGCCCATTACAATAACTTACCCTACAGGAAGTTAAAAATAATGTATCATTTCAAGAAAGTCATCAGAATTGTTAATGACAAAGCCTCCAATAGAATAATATCTATATTTCATTTAAAAACTTAAAATTATATTCCACAAGAATTCATATAAATACACATAGTTACAAATAAAATTGTAAAAAAAAAATTAGCTACATGTGGATTGCTTTAGTAATTATATAACAACACTGGTGTCTTTGTCCCAAACATCGCACCTCATCGAATCCAAATTCTCAACATCAGCATTCATAGCCTTGGGTCTAAAAGTCGGTATTCTAGAAACACCTTTAACAACCTTCTTAGGACTCTTCGTTTAGCCGATAATCATGAACCATTGTGAGATGGGTATCGACATTGCGCAAACAGGATAAAGGAGTCCTGGATTAGTCAGTGCCACTTTTGTTTTTTGCTCTTGTTGTGTATCCGATTTGGATCTTAAATGTGTCGGTTTGTTGCGAACACAAGATAAGGGGTTGCGACCGGAAGACGATAAGGCTTTTCTTGGAGTCACTTTGTAAAATTCTTTATCTTCATAAACTTGGTTGACACGGTTTGATTTCTTGCCGTACTTTTTGGCAAAGTCTTTTTTAATTTCATCCAACTTTGTGGATTTGATTACAATTTTGTTTTCAACAACATCGGTGTTGATATGTTTAAAATATTGTCCTTCGCCAGGGGACTTGCTTAAATCTTCAGGCGAGAGGCAATCTAAGAAATTATCAGACTCGAGAGGTGTTTTTTCAATTTCGTTTACTATCGTCACTTGTTAGTTTCATGCACAGGTGTTAAAAACTCAGCAGAATCATCGTTTTGCAAAATAGGAGTCCTACAAAACTCTAACTCTGTACTTGGACTTCTAGGGTCAAACAAGTCTGACTTAAGGTGTGGGGTGTTAAAATACTCTTTTTAAGCTTGGGGACAGCATCCAGGTCAGTCTCAATGCAATCTAGGTTAGTCTCTAAGTACGACTTTCTACTTTCATTGGCACTACACAATGACTTTTCATCAGTGTCATTTAACAGTCTTTTCGGTTCTAATGTG